TGGGGAGGGGGGGCAAGGCCCGGGCATGCCCTTTGTTTTGTTGGCGGAAAGAAAGGATTGTGGATTGGGGGGGAACCCTTTTTTTTTAGGTAGGCATTGGTATGCTTCTCAAGAAATATCGGGGGATTTGGGAGCCACCCCGATTTTATTTTTGGAAGATTTGAATTGGGTAGAGTATTGGGGGCCCCCCCCCCCCCCACACGCCGCCCCCTGCCGGCGAAGACCCGGCAATATGGCTCCGTCCCGGCCTGTACGGTTGCGAGGTCGTCTATGGTCTGCCGATTGCAGCATGGCTTTAGATGAGCGGTACGTCCCACCCCCCCCTCCACCGGCTGAGAATCGAGGTTGGTGTCTTGCCCTTCGCCGCCCACATTCTCGCCATATGGCACGCATGGGTCCTTCAGCAACAACCACGTCCGTACTGCATGCTACGTCCCTCCTGCCCTATCATAACCACCTCCTCCCCCACCCTCGGAAAATGCCCGCCAGGAAATGGAAACCTTCCGGCAGTTCCAGCAGGTCATGATCGCGGGGGGGGACACGAAGTCCGTTCAGCAAAAGGTGGGTTGTCTCCACACCGCAGTCTCGGCGAATCAGTATACTGCGGGACACGTGTGCATACCGACTCTACGGCAGCAGTGTCGAGCCCGGTAGTGAGAGCGAACGGAGGTGCACGTTGGGGTATGGGTCAGCTTGCAGATGACCAGCGCAAGGCACACACCGATTTTCCGCGCGTTGATAGCAGTGTTCAGCAGACGGAGGTGATGGAAAGAGGCTACATAGGACGACTGTTGGTGCGGATGAACGCCATAGCAACAGAAATGAACCTACAACCGAACATAGGATTGAAATCGCTAAAATGCGCTTCTTCCGTGCCTTGAACAACCCAAACGCGCACGCGCCATCGACACATGACTCGCGGAACAGGAGAGGGAGGCCTTCTCCCAGTTGTACAGCTCGCTTCCCGCGTTGGCGGCGAGTCAAGACGGTGGTCCGGCCATGTCCAAGGCCGGAGCCGCGGTGCCGACGAGGAAGGCGGCGATGGAGATTGAGGCCGGCGGCGGGGTGGATGTTCGGGAGGGGCAGGCGTCGGTGAGCTATAGGAGTATACGTAGCTGGATGGGTTGGTCCGGGTTCAAGCATGCTGTCCGGTGTTGTTGGTGATGTAGTCGTTGTCGCGAGTCCAGGCATGCTGTCCTGCTTGTTGTTGTTGTTGGTGTTTTTGTCGTCGCCGTATCGAGTTCAAGCATGCTGTCCGATGTTGTCGGTGATGGCGTTACTGTCGTCGATGTTTCCAGTTCAAGTATGCTGTCCGGTGTCGTCGTCGTCGTCGTCGTTGTCAGTTGTCAGTGTCCTGCCGCTCCGCTCGCGAAACCAGAAACAGATCTTACCCGCCAACCCTCTCGCGCTTCCGCCTTGAAATACACAGGCGATCACCGAGATCTGGAGCAAGGTGGAGATCAAGGAAGGGGAAGCCCCCCCCCAATCCCCCGCTCTCCTAGGAGGAGCCCCCATGATGAGGCAAGGCGTCGGCACGCGGTCCCTCGCCGCGGCCGTCGCCGGCGGCGCGGGGGGCGGCGGCCCCTACGCCTCCCTCAACCGGCACCAGTACCACCGCCAGAACCCTCCTCGCAGCGCCGTAGGCGGCAACATGAACAACAGCAGCAACAGCCAGGCCGGGGGCGGGTATGTCAACACTCAGCCTTACCACCAACCGGCAGGAGGAGGAGGAGGAGGAGGAGGAGGAGGAGGGGGGTTTGGTAGAGAGGGGGCGGCCGTTTCGGCGGCGGCTTTCGCCGCGGCGTCTTCGATCGGCGGCTCGCGGAACTCGTGGAGCCAGCAGCTGGACCAGTTGCGGACGGACGACGTCATCCCGACGCCGCTCGAGATCCACTCTCCCGGCGGGGGCGGCGACATATTGTCGCTCTCTTGCCTGGGGTCGTACCTGGCGGTGAGCTTCCCCTTGTTGTTCCGGCCACGACTGACAGTTTTTCGCGTAGAGTGTGTAGGGCTGGGGCGAAGGGCAGAGGCGACGAACAGAGAACTTGTCCACTAGTGTAAGAAAAGTTCCAGTTTGGATGGAGACTCGGGGTTCGCAGCTCCTCTGTGGGCTGCCAGTAGCCACAGTGCTGTATTGTACTTTTGTTTGTGGGAATCCTTATCCAGGTATCATATCAAGCGTGTGCTATGTATGTACTGTAGTTCTTTACGAGTTGAGATTTTTCAGCCTGAATTATTTCTTCACCACCAGGTTGTACAGATCCCAGCATACTCGTTGTTGTCCAGGCTCGGCGCCAGCCGGGTCGGTTAGGATCCGAAGCGCTGTTTGCTGGCCTTGTGTAGAGAACAAAACGAGCGGACGGTGTGCATCTTGGTGACCGCCTTCGACGACTCTAATTGCTCGGCACCCCGACAACAGGACGTGAAACTCCCGTCAAATCTGGATGGAGCCGGCGGCGACGGAACGGGGCAGCAGGGCACGTTTTCGGCCACGGCCGCCAGGGAAAAGCGTAGCGGCGGCGGAAACGGCGGCGGCAGCGGCGGCGGTGGTGGGGACGCTGGTGCTGCCGGAGAGAGCAACAGTGAGGGGACAGCGGGGATGAAGGGCAGCAGTAGCGGCGGCGGCGGCGGCGGCGGTGACCGCGGGGGACAGCCAGGTCAGCAGATGTCAGGTACGAAAGGCTTCTCGGCCTCAGTGTCATATCGTGGTTGATGTTGCTGCTGCTAGAACTATTGGTGGGTGGCGCTACTTTGTTTAAACTGTGCCATCATGTATGCTCTTATGGCCTTGATTTGATGCCTAGTGTTCGCGATAAACAGAACCACAACTGTTTGGGCTTGTGCTCGCGTACGCCACATCTGCAACACACGGGAATCCATGCCCCCCCCTGCCACCGCATCCTTGGCCTCATTCACACGTGGGTCCCTTCTCCCTCACTCCTTAACCCCACCTTCCGACAGATCCCAGCAAAGGCACATTCACATCCTCCGGCGAATGGAGGCGGCGCAATCGACCCCCAAGCACGGCCCCCACTCCCGCCGCCGCCGCTGCCGCCGCCGCAACTACCGGCGACAACGGTGGCGACGTCAAGCGTCACGCGCCCGACAGCAGTCAGCGTCTGGGTCGAATGAACATCGTTACCGGGGACGGCGGCGGCGACCGCGGTGGCGGCGGCAGCGACGACGACGATGGAGGAGGAAACGGGGGCGGGGCGGCTCTGTTCGACGCACATGCGGCGGCCCTGCAGCACGACATGCAGGCCCTGAGCATCGACGACGAGCCCTCTCCCGGGTGGAGCCAGCTGAGGACAGACGTTGCCGGGTACGTTTGTAGCGGCTTCGGCTTCTAGGCAGCCTCGTGGGGAGTTGTTTGTGGTATTTGCTTTTTGCTGCTGCTGCTGCTGCTGCTGCTGCTGCTGCTGCTGCCGTCACTACCGTGGTTATTGTTACTGTTGTTGCTATCGTTTAAGCCAATGGTTGTTTTTTCTGCTGTGGTGGTACGCGATGGTGTGGTCTCGTAGTCATCAGCGCCGGCGGCAATATCGCTGATCCACTGGTGGGGGGGAAGGCTCGGAGGTAGAGTCCGCCAACGTGGGAACAAGAAATGACTGCGGACAAGATGCAATGATACGCTCCTCCCTTGAATCGCTCTCCCGAACGGAGATCATGGCCGGAGATAAGCACAAGCAATAGTCACTCGCTCTCCGTGTGCCTGGTTCCGACGACGTTGGACTGCGATTTGCCCGGGCGCATACGATACCTCTCCTCGTGTCCTTGTCTCCTTCTTGACGGCAGGGTACCGGGACCGGCATTCGACGGGGACGCTTTGCCCATGAGCCTCACGTCCGCGTCCGACAACGTGCTCGGGGGAGCTCAAGGTTTCCCGGTACCGCCAGCGTTCAAGTGAGTCTCAAACCTCGGCGGTGTAGTAGGTGCTTGCACACGACGGGGGGACAGTTTACCGCCAATCTCGCTGACGCTTGTCCTTGGATTCAGGGTGTGGGTTTGGGTTAGGAAAGGGTGCTGGGTTCTGGTTGAGCCGCCTCGGATGAGTTTTGGCGGGAAAACTGGCTGCGGGGATGGTTCGTTCGACCTAAAACAGATGTTTGAAAGTGGCGCACAACGATGATCGTTACTGTTGGTCAGTCTAGTTTCTGCTCGCCACCCCGCGCCATGTCCCCCCTGTCCCCGTGCCATGCCTCACAGGAGGAGATGTGTATAGTGTCCCCGTTCGCGGAGCCTCATTTTCAGGAACAACACGCCCTCGTGTCTTCCAAGTCCTCTAGGGATATGATACATCCGTGATATTGTGGCCATACCCTCATGCCCCCCCCCCCGCGCGCGCCATATTCACATTCGATGTCGGCAAGGTCGCGATCGTCTCGGCTATCCTACACCCCCGCGACTGCAGGACATTACGCCGCGCACGGGCAACCCCCGAACAACTCATGCGGCTTCTCCGCCAATCTTCCTCCCACTCCGGGTTTCGCGGCCAGCCCTCGCACACCGATGCAGCAGCAGCACCCGTATCCGATGTTCGCAGCGGCGGTAGGCCCTTCTCCATCTCGCGGTGCCGTTCTGTCCGGGACCGGCTCCAGAGGAATGTCGCCGTTCCCGTTGGCCCCGCCCGCCCCTGCTGGGGCCATTTTCGGGCCAGCCAGCGGCGGGGCTGCCCCGCAACAGTACAATTCCAACAGCAGCAACAGGGCCAACCGTTCTGTCAGCCGCAGTGGGAACGACTTCCAGCAGCGTTTCCTCGGAATGCCGCAAGCTGGACCACCGGCCCCAGCGGGGACGCCGGGCGCCGCCCAGTCTTTGCGCAGCGACAACAACAACGGGGACGACCACGACCATGGGCATCGAGGGCCGGCTCCTTACGGCGGGGCCGTGCTGCAACAACAAGAGCAGCAACAGCCGCAATACCTCCATGAAGGAGACCAAAGCCAAGGCCAGCCGATCTTCAACATCAGCAACATTAACGTCCCCAGCGACGGGCAGCCTTTCCCGAGCGGCCCGCCGTCGTTCCCCCCGCCCACGTCTTCTTCTTCTCTGCCGGGGACATCCGCAAGCGCCGCCGCCGCTGCCGCTGGCGCCGTCGCCATGAACGTCAACGCTGTCGACATCGCCGCCGACGACGCTAAGACCGAACGGAGCCGTAGCCGTAGTCGGGGCGAGACCAACGCCGGCGGCCGCGGTGTCGGCCGCTCGGAAGGCGGCAGCGACGACAACAGGATCGGCATCGCCACGGCAGAATCCGCGGCCAAGACGGCAACCACCGCGGGGGCACCGCGGACATCATCCTCTTCGTCCTCGTTTTTTGCTGGGGAAGCGGATAAGGCGGTGGATCCGCATGAAACCGTGAGTGTCAGGAGCAAAGTGTTGTAGACCCTGATGATGTTGTTCCCACAGACGGCGTACCCCCCCCCCCTCGAAACGATGAGCAGAAACGGGCACAAGCGTTTCGATCACTCCAGCGGGTAATTTTCCAATCTTCCTTGCCAAGGTTGTTTCGATCCACAACCCATCCGTCAGGAAGCAGGAGGACATGGAGGATACGGAGCGGGGTTGGATACATTTTCGCACGGGAGTAGGTATCCGACACATCTTGACTTGATATTCTCGTGTGTCCGAAGAACGGATCATACCTCAAGAAAATAATGAAATGGCCAGGCCGGCGTATTGACAGGCCGGTAACCCCCCCCCCGGTGTTTGCCATCGGGGTTGGGTTTTCGTCGCTTGGCAACGACGTTGTAAAACAAGCCGCCCCCCCCGGTGTTTGCCATCGGGGTTTGGGTTTTCGTCGCTTGGCAACGACGTTGTAAAACAAGCCGCCCCCCCCGGTGTTTGCCATCGGGGTTTGGGTTTTCGTCGCTTGGCAACGACGTTGTAAAACAAGCCCCCCACTCGGTGTTTGCCATCGGGATTGGGTTTTCGTCGCTTGGCAACGACCTTGTAAAACAAGCCAATTCACGTCGTGAACTCGGCAACCAGGTTACCGTTTTTTTTTTTTACCTGTTTTTTTTTTTTTGGCGGTAACCATAATGGTGGTCGAGTAGATCATGTTGTGCGGGGTCGAGAAACCTCACTCCGCGCAACGGGGGATGCTCGCACCACGTTGTGTTAAAATGGTCAAGCTTCCTCGAGGCAGTTACACAGTGCTTACAACTGTCTCTGGAAGTGAAAGCACCAGAAAATAAACTAAGTCATACGTAGATGTCATCCGTACGCAAGGAAGTAAGCACAAGATGCCGAACACCCTTAGCAGGATGCAGCTCACCCTTCATGCGACTCGCCAAATACCTCACGGCGCTTCGCGCTTGGTGATGTGAGAGCCTGGTCCGGTGAGAACCCGGCGTGCTCCGTCCCGGCTTTGTAGGGATGCGAGGTCAATGGTCAAACGACTACGGCATGCACGACTATGAGTACACCCCCCCCCCCCCCCGGTGAACGGTTTAACGTCTTAGGCATGAAAAACATTGGTACGCTCGCCCCCCTTCCTTCACCCAACACTCGGTCGCACGTTCACCAGGGTGATGACGCCTATGGGACAGGCGGAAGGCCAGCCGGGATCGCCCCCAAGTACACCGTGGACGAAAAAAGCTCAATCTGAAGGTCGAGATCGGACGCACAGAGGTGGATGAAATGAGAGAAAACGGTCAGTTGGGTCTGATGCCAAGCTCACCGTTAGGAACGCGTCGTCCACCACCCACCTTTTTTTTGGCTCGATCTTGGGCTTGAGCTTCACCGCTCGATGTGGCTTCTGCAGTTCGCTCTCATGAGGTTGGATCTGATCGAGCAACTTCGAAGTCCACTTGACCACCGGGTTGTCGGCGGATGCTGTATTGTAGGTACCGATCAGATCGGAATGTATTTTCAAACATTTAGTAATTTTTTAAGTTCGCTTGACAACCGGGTCGGCGGCTACTGAAGGTGCCGATCAGGTCGGAATGTAATGTCAAACATTTAGTGAGTTTTTAGTCAAAGCACTGTTGGAGGGCGTGACTCTGTGCACACTGGCTTGGCCTTGAATATAGGCCTATGCTACTCGATTCCACTCTACTGCGGCATTGTCAGCGTTGATAATTTTTGTTTGTTTTTGTTGGAAGCACCTCAAAACACGGCTCTTTGGGCCAGAACGGCGGTATTCGTCCTTGTGGCCACCGCAAGACCAGGTCTTAGCAGCTCAACGATGAACAACAAAAGTATATATATACTTTTTGTTGCAAACATCGTGAGTTTGCCGATCTTTCGACAGTTCTCGCATTTGGTGCTAGCGGGGGACATTCCCCTCCGCAAGGAGTACGTATTCCACCCAAGTAGCAGTTGTGATAATTTTCGTAGGCAAGTGTAAGTGTGTGAGTGCGTGAGCTCGAATCCGACTATCTGTCTCAAGCACAAAGCTGCGTTTACGTCGACCACGTTTGTTTGCTGCTGTCTTGCTTTTGGTTTAATGAATATTGGACACAAATGTTCATCGAATGGACGTTCGGAGCATGTGGCCTGGTTCGTGCTTGGCTGCTAGAGGGTGATGCAAGGGTGATGGGGGGGGGGAAAGGGAGCCATTGCGTGAGGAGTGTCTAAGATCAAACGATTTGCTCCCATTGTTGGCCCCAAGCCTGGATAAGCACATTCCATTTTTGTTTATGGGTATTTCCAGATCTTGATGTGCCTGTTCATGCACCGCGAATAATGTTGAAAACGAGTGCAGCGAACGCATCCCGGCGGGGCGGGGGGGGTAGATTTGGGTTTTAACACTGCTGCAACATCGAGAGTCCGATATGTGTGCGAATCGAAGGGCCCACTGAAACGAAGTTTTGTCATATGGGTAAAATTGCCTGTCGTCTCTGCAGCAGCACCCTTTACCCTACCGCCGCCCGACGATACAAATGATGGCAGGACCACTCTGTATTTTTCGTCGTTTTGGTTTTGTTCTGAACTTACTTTGTGTTCTTCGTGTGAGAGTCTGCTGCTGTGTTTATTTGGTTTGCTCTGTGTTCGTTTCTGTTCTGGGTTTCGGTTGGCTAGAAGAGCTGGTTGGCGGGGTACGTTTACGCCGTTCGTCGAATGAATCGCTGTCGCATCGACGCATGGGTCGCCTACGGATGACCAATCCTCCTGAAGGAACGCCGAGTCTCGAGTCATTATTATGGGTGCGATACCACGGGTTTGTATTGTACGGAACGGGAGAATTGCTCAAAAGGTTCATTTCCTGATGCGATTAAGTTCCTAGGGTAATGAGTTTGCTTTCGTTGTTGGAAAATTTTGAACGGGCGGGATTCTTCTTCGCTGAGGACAGAAAACGACATGTTTCTCGGGCATGTTCTGTCTTCCCAGCGAACCTTGCTCAAGTTTTGAGGAGCAAGTGTTGAGATTTTCGTTCCCGCGCGGGTGGTGACTTTCCAATCTATTTGTAATCGTTCGGGAATAATTTGCGGTTCGGGATGCCGTGCAGTTGTGCTAGTGTGGTGGTATTCTCTTTTTTTCTTGCAACCAGGGTGGGTTATATTTGATTGTAACAAGATTGCATGCGGGTGCAGCATCCTTGGCTTATCACGAGCGTTTGCAAGGGCTTCGGTCGAAACTTTATATCATCTCGGATGATATCCCAGGCACCGGGAACCTGGGTAAAGGAGGAAATACACGCCGCCCCCGACAACGAGAAAGAAAGGCCATAAAGTAAAGGAAAGGATAAGCTACTGTAGAATACGATCATACAACGAGCGCCGTGAGCGAAGGTACGGTACGAGTCTTTTTTTTTTTTCGTATGGCAGGTGGGGAGATGGTACTCGTTTGGGGCAGAACGTAACCAGCGTGTTTTTTTATTTTTCTCCCGGGTGGTGTGTGGTAGGTAACGTTATGGTTGCTACAGGTCAAGGTTGCTTTTTCTGCGTTCGTTCGCGTTTGCCTCCATTCATACAGGCGAGCATGCGCCGTTCGGACTGCCAAGTATTAATTTTGTTTTGTTGTGGTGTTGGTTGCGTGTGGTTTACTTCGCCAATAGTAGGGTGAGCATGCCCTCGACATCGACTGATAGGTTTTGCGGGACGGCGGTACCAGAGGAGCCGAGCTGCGTAAAGGTGCCCGTCCGTACGGTCGGGCTGATCAATCGCAAATAGAACAATAATACGTCAGTACTAATGCCCCTCCATATGGTTTCTAAATACCGGGAGGTACGGTAAATGTTGTTGGTTGCATATCCACACGAAAGGCACGCAATTGTGAAGTAAATGATGCGGGGGTTGGCAGCAGAGTTCCAGCGTAGGAATCTATCGAATGAACGGAGAGGTGGGGTGGCGGGAAGCGCAAGTGAATGAGCTATGCATACGTATGGATATTTCGAGCTACGGGTATTGGCGTCCGTGGTCAAGATTGTACGCTCTCGCTGTTTGTCAGAGTTTTTATTATTCGTGCATCATTAGGTGACTGCCTATCACTTAGGGCATCAGTTGGAAGTGCATTAAAGCGGCAGACAGACTAGAATGCAGCCGTGATCGTTTTACACGGACGGACGCGAGGATTCGGAGGTCAGGGAGTGGATGAAGGGGGGGGTTACGGGTGCACTGCAATGACTATTTGTACGACCTATTTGTGTGGGACATGCAAAATCCTTCCACGAGTCACATACGCATACGTGAAGTTATGTGGGGGAGTTTCCTTGTCCTTGGTTCACCCTCGAAATCGATGTTTTTTGGTGTGGGCTGGGAGGGCAGCGAGAAAGGAAATCCCACTCTATGTAGACGATTGGATCGGGGAGCGATATATTGGCCACTGAACACGGTATAGCAAGCAGTGGTTCAGACACGCTTGACAAAAGTTGACGCAGAGTTGTCTCCCTCAGGGGTTTATGACGATGGGATTGAATGCTGTCGGGTGCAACTTCGATGGCAGCCTTTCTTCGTATGGCCAATCACAACAACAGCGAACAGCCAGATACACAGCCAGACAGACAGGTCGACCTCCGATAAGTGCAGGTGCCCGCAGTTTTCTAACCTGCCGATTTCTTACAGAGGAAGTGTCTGTCGGCGAAAACCCGTGGTCGACCGTTCACGTCATCCAGGACGATAACGTGGATAATGGGGGAAATCCCAACATGTCAAATCGATTGGACGCTGATGACGCCGGTCAGGCAGTCGCCGACCACATGTACGTGCCGTCGATGATCCAACCTCGAACTGCTTATTAATCAATAATATCTGCCATCGATTGTCGAAATTCGCTTGAACGATAAGTGCCATCCGATGGTATATCAGACCACCACGCGTGATTGGTTGTGAGCCGTATGCCATCTACACATGTTTCTCGACAGTCCCGGTGACACGGACGGAGAACATGCTTGAGAATGGCAGCCCTGCAGATACCGGCACCGGACATGGTCTTGAAGATCCTTTTTGGGAGCCTCGCTCTTGCCTGCGTTTGTTAAACACCAACGCAACGATCAGCGAGAGAGAAGAAGCGAACACACGGCCCGTTTGGCGGGATGCGAATTGCCGGGGCGGGTGTTTTCAATACAAATGATTCGATGAGATGCAGCCCACAAATAACTACTTCACTCCCGGAGACGCGGGTCAAGGCATGACGACAAAAGCAGCAGCAGCACCACCAAGAACAACAAACAATAATACGGCATACGCGGCCACAGGGTCTAATGTTCGACTAGTCTAGGAGAAAACACTGTAATTTAGTCGCCAGGCGCCTCTAACGCACGTATTTGAGGGGCGCAAAGGGCACTCACTCGTTGTTCGAGAGAGCTGGCAGAACAACAACAGCATCATCAACAACAACACCGACTACAATCCCCCGGAAACAGTGGGCAAAACGCTCACCGTCGACACCCTTGGCCTCGTTTGTAGACAACAGTTCCTGGCCTCTTTTCCTCCGCCGTGTAACTCTCGCGCTGCCTGATGAAGAGCGCAGCAGCAACACCCGCACAGCAACACCCGCATCGGCACCAGCGTCAGCAGCAAGAGCAGCAACAAAGAACAACGACAAACATAATGCCGGTCGAATAATGCCGGTTATAATGCCGGTCAAGTCGTCTGGCACAGATATAATATTCAAGTCGTTTCATACTCTGAATAATGCTGGTTGCCCGCTATAATGCCGGCGAACCGACGGGATCGCACCGGCATTTCCGGGACTATACAGTAGTAGTAATAGTATACTCTACACCAGTGATGGAAAAATAAAAACGTTTTAAAAACACTTTTTGTGTACACAAAAGTACACTTCCGCATCGGAGTCGTTTCGCTGCACCGTAATTAGAAGGGCCCACCAGTGATGTTTGATCGAACATTCAAATTTGAAACCTTGCGCATCGGACTCTCGTTTCCGCTTCACGAGTTAGAAGGGCCAACCCAGTCATGTTTTTTTTTTGTTGTTGTTTTTTGACGTTCAAATAGCATAATAGAGAGAGTGAAGGCAACGCCGGAGGCCCTCGATGCGCATCAGGCATCAGGCATAGACGCACCACCAACAAGAAGCTGAGACAAAAATAAAGAGGTGAGGAATACACTGGCCACCAGAGTCAGGCTCCTCACGTTCTGCGCAAGGGATCGAGTTTGGGTTTGTTTTCCGTCCTCTTGTTGTCATCAATTCGTTCCGTGCCTGCATACCGTACCGCATCAGGGAGAAAAGCAGCGCGGCAGCCAGGGTAATGAAACAGGGATGCACAGCCCCGCGAGTGGGCCACCGCCTGTTGCTGCGAAGGGACTACTTTTCTACACCGCACAATCCCTTTTTCCCGTCTCATAGCTCTTGCTTTGGCGTCAGTGTTGGTGGTTCCAACATTCAAATATTTGAAACCTCAGTACGCTGTGGTGGTCCGGGCCAACACCCACCCCTGTAAACCTGCGATTTCCCACACGGGGCCCCGCGGCAGCGATCAGCTGTGCAGTCCCGGTGCACTTCTGGCTGTTCAAGCACTACACAGCAGTAGTGCACCGCACCGTGCAGCTCAAGAGTCTTCAGGTGGGCTCACACGTGTTTTTAGTGCAAGGACAAGTCGGGTACCCGTAACGATGGATCTCAGCATTTCTCAGCTGGGAGGTCAGAGGGTCAAAACAGCTGCGACGCGCGAATCCGCAGACAGATGTTCTCTCGCGGGTGTTAAAAAATCTTGCAACACGCGTAAACTGTAGACTATATCGTCTGGAACTTGCCGTGGCGAATTCCTTGTGGAACTTGGCCGGTGTCACCCTCGTCTGCGAAAGCCCATGCCACATTCGCTCCTAATTGCAAGCACTGCTGGGTGCTCTGGATTGATACTGCTGTAGGGTTTGGGTCACTGATTGGCAGTGGATGTTCAAGAGAACATGATCACACAGATTCCGCCGCACCAAAGTACCAGGTACATCTGCATATCTACACTGCAGTACACCTTCCTCTTATGCATACCAATGTGGAATGCTTCGTGGTACACACGCAATAGCGTTCGCGTCAATTTTCTCTGCCTTGCTTCGACCATGCGCGGGTGCCGCCGGGCGGCTGTTGGCTTCACTCCACATCCATGTGTATGTGCTGGCTCTCTTTCTCTGCTGGTTGAGGATCTTTCTTCGTACCACCATGCTTTGCAAACCTCTTCCCGTACCGTGGTTCCTTCGGATGACGTTGACGTTGGATTGTCGTCCCCCACAAGAGCCAGCGACTACTAGCTATAGCTGAACAGCTTGCCACCAGTTCTGTATTTCTTCGTATTGCTTTTCGCCCGCCCCTTTTGTGCCCGCTTACGCACATACACAAGAGGTTTTCTCCTCCGCGGGTCCCCTTGTCGAAGGATGAAGGTTCCCTGCCCACTTTATTGTAGCTCTCCACACTCTCCGTCACCGACGCAAACTCGTGTTCCTAGGTATACTGACCGATGCTAGATCCCAACTTGCAAGTTTTTCTCAGATTTCGGGTCAACTTACTAGAATCCGAACACAGCAACTTTGGTGTATAGCCTGGGCATACCTCGTGCCTCGTGCCGGCTGCATGTACCTCGCCAGCGCGTACATCAAAATGCCGGTACATATAGCTTTGTGGGGGTAAAGACGATAACTGCTGTCTTTTAGACGGATTTGAGGACTGACGGTTACAATCATTGCCGGTGGGGATTTCATCAGGCGTGCAGGGAGCATGGCGGCTGACGTGGAAGGCGTGCAGCGGCTGCTGGAGGAGCTGCATCGCCACAGCAGAGAAAACTTTCCGGACTCGGAGGTGCGCCATTTACACGTTTTGTTTGGTGTTAGTGCTGGTGTTGGGGCGTTGTTTCATGGCCTCAACATCAACTTGAGCGCGAAAAATCTATATTTTTTCTGTTTTTTTTTTTTTTCTCGTTGGTCCTCGTGCCAGCGGTGTAGTCCGCTGTCTCCCCCCCCCCCTCCTATGCGTCCAACTGTCTGCCATCTGTCCTTCTAGCCTGCACCACCCTGTTCCCCCCTCTGCATCCAACGGTCTGTAATCTGCACTTTCGGCCTACACGCCCCCCCCCGCCCCCTTCGTTATTCGCAGATCAATGACCCCGCCGCGCTGGTGGAGCAGCTGAGCATCGCAGTCCTCGCCCTAGACCCACGATCCCCGGGGCAAGAGGTGATTACCGCGAAAAACGTCTCGCCCCTCCCCGGTAGGCCGCAAGTCTTACTCATGCGTTTTTGATATCGACCCCATGATGACACGCCGTCAAGAGGTGAAACCATCCGAGCTTGTAATATTGAGTAGTGGCGACATTATCCGTGGGGTGGGCTGGTGTAAAACGCTACAGCAGTAGAAGTGGCTTCGTCTTGGGGTCACGCCTGGGCTAATGGCGATCATTCCTAGACATGGAAACTTGCGTTCCGTGCATGGCGCTGCTGCTCAACGTCGGTTCGCGTCCTCACGCTCGGCGGGCGGCGTCTGTACATTTTCACGAGCAACTAAGCAACATGCGGTTCCGGTCTCAACAACCGAAGAACATTTTCAGCGAGCTCGACGATGGCCCGCTGTAGGTAGAGCAGCATCACCCTCCCATTTTGACGAGGGTTCCCGAGTTGAGCGTCGTTTCGCCGGGTATGCGCTGCTGCTTGCTTTGCTGTTTCGGGGGATTACTTCCGAGAGGTCCTAGTCCGACTGTACATGCCATCTAGACGCGAAACCCCGTCACTGGAACACAGCCACAAACGTTTTGGTGATTCGTTTCCGTGGATGAGCTCCGTCTGCTTTGCGAGCTACGCCTGGGTTGTGGGAACTTGTCTTGTCCCTTTCGTTTTATTCCCGATGAACCTCCTCGTGTCCGACCGTACCGTAACCACCTCGACCGCCGACCTCTACGCGGAACTCTAATCCTCTCCACGGTTTATTGTTTTTGGCACAGCAGCGCTGACGGCGACTTGTGTACTGCCCACGTGTTTCTGTCCATCTTCTTGGAGTTCTCTGCTGCCGCATCCTCTGCATTTGTGTCTCCCCCTTGCGGACCACTGTTGTACATGGGGCACGTGCGCGTGCTCGCAGGTCTATTTTCCCAACCCCACCCACCCACCCCCTCTCTCTTTCACCCTTTTTCTGGCTTTACCCCCCTTTTTCCTAGGCGGATGTGGCTCTTTTCGCTTCCTTCGTGTTCGAGTCTCAGGCCCCGCGAGACCTGCTGTCGTTCGTAACCGACACCATCAACAGTTCCGCCAAGGTAATGCATCCACGTGCCGCGGGAGACCGGGTTGTCATCTGCGTGTGCCTACTCCCCCTCCTCTCCCCAAGCTTCTCCCGTACGGACGTAGAAGACACGTCTCAAACGTAAAGTCGAACACATGCCAGTCCCGTCCCTAGAGGTGTACACATGACCAACAAGACGGGATTGGTTTACCTCCGTAAACCCGCCTTGGACATGCCATCAACAGGTTACCAAGAAGTCGAGGATGGCGGCTCTGAAGGTCGTGGGGAATTTCTCGAAACGCCTCAAAGGAACTCCAGTCATCGATCGCTATGCGCAGAGGTAGGCGAAGGGCACCGATGTCCATGTGCACGTACATAGAGCGCTTCAGTTTGTGTGATGGCCAACCCGTTCGATTTGGGATATCTAGGGTATGTAGTTTGAAAACCCTAAATATTGTGCAAGCTGATTGTGAAACTGTATCATTTTTCACGCTGTGCGTCGATATTCCGGGACCAGATCGTCGCCAGGCGGGCGTGTGGCAGCAGCGGTGTGATGTGCCATACACCTACGCCTCTTCTATTTTCTATCTCCGTAGCGATTTTGTGCGGCGTTGTTGGTTACTCTATGTTTGTGCACGTCCTGCCGTTTTCTTCGCGTGTGTACCTTATCCGCCCCCGCTCCTTCTCCCGAAAATCGTCCATACAGAACGGAATAAACCAGCCAACGATACGTGCGTTTCGACCATCATAATATGTGCCTGTCAAGTTTATGCGATTTTCGGGATTGCATATCGGGAATCCAGTGCATGGTGGTGACCTCGACAGCGACAGCCACACAATCAACTACCACCAACAAACGCGATATTGTGAACTTCTTTTTCGTTTGCGTTTCGATCAATCTATCCCTTTCTTGCAGGATCAAGGACGGCTTTGTGGTAGCCTTTTCTTGTGTGCATTGATCACAATCTATCCCCTTCTTGCGAGATCAAAGGACGATATTGTGCACCACTTTTTTCTTGCGCCTATCGATCAATCTGTCCCGTTCCTGCAAGATCAAGGACGATGATCAAGGACGATGTTGTGTACCACCTTTTCTTTTGCGTTCGATCGATCAATCTATTCCGTTCTTGCAGGATCAAGGACGACACGTGGGCTGTGTTTTCCAAAGAAAGAGAGTCTCAGGAAGTCAGGGCACACGCCCTCAGGCCGCTCCGGGCGCTGCTCAAGCTCCGATCCCCTAACCTCGCCGCCGAGAAATGGAACGTAAGCTCCGATTTTTGGAGTTGGGGGTGACTTTGCAAGACATGCGGCTGTAAAAAGACTTCAACACATTCCCTTCGACTTTGGTACTATCTCGAATGGGTAGTTTTTCTTTGATGGTATGGATATTTTCTGTGACATGCGGGTGTATCTTGTTGGTTGTCATTCACGGTTTTGCTGCATACAACATATCAGCCACCTTCTCGCATCTTCCCATGTCTGGCCCACCTCGTGCCTGCAAAACTGCAAAACCTGGTCATGCCCATCTCCCGAGACATTGTGTTTCCTCACAACGTCTGCCCCGGAAAAAACATGTCCTACGTAACGTACGTGCGTGTGGCACATCTGTGCGTTTGCGCGTCTTGGGCAGGTCGCTGGCATGTGGGCAACCATCAGGGAGCAGTACTCGCTGGGTACCAGCAAGATTTCGCAGGTGGGTCGAGAGGAGGGCGAGGTTCACAGCCGTTATTCTCCCAAAGCGGGGTGTGGCCATGAGCCTCACGAGAGACGGAGAAAGAGAAGAGTTGGGTTGTTGTTGTTGTGTTGTTGCTTTGTTGTTGGTGTTGTTGTTCTTCACATTAACCGCCGTTCCGATCTCTCTATCCAGTACCTTCATCTATCCGACTGATATTGGGAGAAGGTGTAGCCTACCGTTGCTTGCGCGTGTCAACCGCCCAGTTTTTACCATGCATCTCTCTCTCTCTGGGTGAAGCGGGGAGAGCGGTAGTCTAAGCACGAAGCCAAGAGTGCCAGATGTTTTAAGGTTGGGCTGTTCCTCACTCTGCTGCCGATTGCTTCTCGTCGAACTTGTCGCTTGCTGTTCTCCAAGAGCTGCAAGGGGGAGTTGTTGAAGCTGGCAGGCAGTCTGGTCCTGGTGTACGGGCGTGACGTGCCGGAGCTGGCGGAGGGGGTGAAGATTATGCTGGGCTGGTGCGACGCAGCTCTGAACGACAACGCAAAAAGCCAGAAGGTGTTGTACGTGGGTGACGTTTGGAGATCGAAACATGCGCCCTCTCGTGGAACATGGCTGGAAGGCTGTACTTGGGGCAACGTTTACCTTTCATTTTTGCGAACGGTACCATGATCCTCCTGTCGCAACAGAGTTTTAAAGCTTTGCGCTGGTCCGAATGGGTTGTGCATGTTCAGAATCCCTGAAGTTTTTGCCTCTATTCTTCTCTTATCCACCTATAGTATGGCGAGGCGCAAGGTGGGCAAGACGCGAGCGTTGGCGCTGTTTTTTGTTTTTTCAGGCGTTTCGCTGGCTGAAAGTCCTTCGTGTAGCCCAATTTATCGTACCTCTATGCATACCACCCATGCACCTTTCCCTTCAGTCTCTATGTTGTTTTTGACAACTTCGGGGAGAACGTGGCGACCTCTTGTGGTACAGAATATGCTCGCGTGTCGTGCAAGCGCATTTGTTCGTATCCTGAGAAATGCATTCCAACCTTATGTCGGACAGAAAACCCCCCGAAAAAATGTGTTTTACTCTGTGTGGGCCTTCTTCTTCCGTCGTATTAATGCGTTGGATGTCCGGCGCGTTCGTCGATGTTTCGTTTTACAACACACCAGCTGGGCAAGGCCCTCCAACCGCAGATCGTGGCCGGAGCGCTTGCTTGCATCGACCTCTTGTGCTCCGCCGGGTTCGAGGAGCGGTACACCTACAAGGCCGGGGAAAGCGCCTCCAAGCCTAACACCAAGCTATACATGTGAGCGTTTCGTATGGCAAACAACGAATATTTATTAAGCGCTGCTTTTTCCACGCTGAAACGCGTGTGGCTGTTTTAGAAAAGAAACGGGAGAAGGTGACCAAGCCCAGCACCTCGTTTTTTTCTTTCTGTGTGTGCGTTCAGGTAACAAAAAAACATGGTTGTCAAGCCGAACTACCCCTTGCGATGTAGACAAAAGTTGAAAGTATGATTGTTCGATATATTGCTGGCAATCATGTTTTGGGTCGTGCTGTGAGAGCTCAGACGAACAGACGTCACGGCCGCGGGGAAATCGTGTTTTGCTCGGTGATGACCCGTTCCCCTCCCCGATGCCCCAGTAAACTTATGTGTTCCGAACTGACTTATTGTGATCTGTCCATTTCATATGCTACTCGTTTTGTTTTCACGCTCGCGGATGAGCTACTTCAAAGGGTCCCGTCAATCTCTCCGGTGTAAAACCGCGCTTCTTGTTCTGGTCCTTTTCGTTTCCATCGTCGCGTCGATCTCGCTCTCCTTGAAAGGAGACGGCGTTCGACAAGTCAATTTCAACCCAACCGCTTGTTCATCCCTCTTGCTGAACGCGCGCGTGCTTCTTGTATTGAATTACTTCGTTGCCTTTCCGCCTATTTCCCTGAGCTCTGTATGTTCAAACGGAGAAATCCTTCAGCCGTTGATGCACGTGATGTCGTTGGGTCCACATCATACTTGCTTCTCCTTCCATGCCCAGTTCCCCCGAACTCTGACGAGCTTCGTGAGTCTTTTTTTCATTCCAGCTCGCTCGTCGGCCGCTCTCCGTGAGACGCCAACGTGACCAGTCCATGACGCTCCCCCCTCTTTGGGACACCCCGCCTTGTCTTCCCCGATTCTAACCCGTGCCTAACCCCGCATGGGTTGTCCCGCCTGTCTCTCCGAATAGGCACCTGCTGAGGGCGGTGCAAGAGGGTTCGGCGCAGGACCTGAGCCGGTTCGAGGTCCCCGCGAAGGCGCTCCGCTTCTTTCGGCGGCACGCGAGGCTGTTCTCGGACAACATCGGTCCGCTGTCGAGAGCCCGGCAGCTTTACGATCTTGTGAGTCGACGTTACTGCATACCACCACATGAGCGCGAAACCTGTTGTGCAAGAAGGTGCCAGCCAACACTCGTGAGCCTCTTGTTTTGCTCGAGGCTCATTCGTCTGTGGGTTATTGTGCTCGACCTCGAGTATGTAGGATGCAGTGTAGGATTTCCAACTGGGCGCCTGTGCTTGGTGTCAGTTTCTGTGCATTTCTATGAGGCCTGGAGCTTTGAGATCCCGGGTTCTTAAATGGTGGCGCGTTCTGTAGCACCGCACACCCCTTCGTGACAGCGGTCTTGCATGCCTGTTGCTTCCGATATGGCATTCGATGATGCGCTTCGCGTATATGCCAGGAAGCAATAACGGCTTGCTCAGGGGGGGCTCACCTTAGTAGCGGTAGTTATGCGGTCGCCTGGTCCCATTTGGAGAAGATCAAGCCCACGACATTCATCTGAGCCACATTGCACAACCGGGTTAGCGATGGGCGACAAGCGACAAACATCTCGAAAGAACTATCACACATATCACGCGCAATCGTAGTACGGTGACAAAGTCATCGTCAAATTGAGCTTTCTGTGAGGTGATCGTGTCTGCCTCCTCTACCTCACCCCCTCTACCTTATTTTCCTTTTTCTTGGGGTTTCATGTTGTGTAGAAATGGTATTAGGAACAACACAACGCGCATACTCGTCTCTCGTTATGGGTGCGTCGTTTCCTTTACCTGTCTGACCGTCTGCCTATCTGTCTCTGTCTGCCCTTCCGTTTCTCTCCCTGGCTGTCTATCTGTGTATCTGTCTGTGTATCTGTCTGTCGGTCCTCTCCCTCTGCGCCTCTGTCATTCTCTCTCTCTTTCATGCTCTCTCTGTCAATGTCTGTCTTTCCTCCCCCCTCCCCTCCCTCTGTTTGATTTCATTTTTTTTTTGCTCTCGGCGTCGGACGTACACAACGAAAGATGGAACAATGTGCAACCGCCGGCGGCCGGAGCTCGAGACTCAAGCTTAAGAAGCACGCCTTGCCTGCCATCGAGGCTACCCTGAGAGAGGTGATATCAACGAGGCGTTATCGTCAATTGTGCGGTGGTCGTTTCTTTCTTTCCATGCGGTGTTGTCCACGACCAACCAGAGAGGAAGCATGCAACATGATGGAGAATATATGAAGCAATCACGGTTAGCGATAGATTGCGCCAATGGGTTGGAATGTTATTTCACACACCTTTCAGTTCCCTGGACAAATTGATTTGTAGTCGCGCCACCAACCCGCTTGTTGTAATCATGTGCTTATTGTGAAGCCCATCGTGCGAAGGCTTGAAGTGAGTGGCCTCCAGCGGTGATGCACCTCAACTGCATTGGCTGTGCCGTTATGCAGTTGAAGTCGGTTTGTTCCGTCTACGACAACAAACTTTTGTTTTTTGCTGCCCCGGTGGAAAATAGGTAGCGCGATATACAGCTTCTAGGCCGGCGAACAAGGATACGCTTGACAAGCTTGAGGGCACCTTCCTCAAGCTTCTGGAAGGCGCGAAACCGTCTGCGGAGGTGCGGCACACATACGCCCGTAGTCTAGTTTGCTGTCATTAATTTTGGTATTGGTGCTGTTGTCGTTGTTTTATTTTAGGGCGGGGTGAACCCGCACTCTTGCCTAACCCCCCATGTTTCACGGTACACCGCAGTTTTCCGATTAGATGCGAATTCTTTGGCCCCAGGCTGAACTGGTTGTGCTAGAATTAAGAGCCAATGAACCATGCAAGACCAACCCTGGTCCGTTTCGTCTTAACCTCCGCCCTTAATCTTCTAATGAACATGTAGTAAATGTTTCGGTGGACGTCACGCGGTGGATCCTAGCTCACCGCCACACCTCACTTGAAACTCGATGGTGTAACTGGTCGCGTGCTGCTGCTGCACCAATGAACACCGCTCACCTTTTTTTTTTTTCCGTTTCACACGCGAAAACGAAAAAAGCAGGAGGTTACGGTGGCTCTGGCGGGGCTTGCCGCACTCTCCCCCGCCGCGACGGCACTCAGCTCCTACCAGGATGCCGCCGATGTAGCCGACCGCCTCCTGGTCTGCCTGGACGCCGCGGTGAGGGGCCAGCCCCGCAGCGACATGCCGTCTTGTTGTTGTCTCGGCGGTTGTTGCCGTAGCAGGGCGGGTGTTTTCAGAGCGCTGGCGGCAGCACAGCCGGGCGAGGACGGGCTGCTGTTCCCCCCGCGAGATTGTTTTTTTGCGTGGTCTTACGCCCGTTCCATGTCGGGATGATGAACTTGTGGGAGCCGGCCTCCTTGCGATAGCGGTGGGCGTGGACTTGTTGGCGTGTTGGGGTTTCGACCTCTCGCAGTCCCGTGAGCCCTCCAGAAGTAGGGGATTGTAGTCACTTTTATCCCTTGGTCTAACGGTTGTTGGCCGCGGTGCCCCCCCCCCTGGCTCTCCAGATTTGACCCCTCTCTCGTCAGTTCGGTCGACCATGTTCGATTAAAGTTGCTGAGAAGGATGATTTTTTTTCTTGTGAGAGGATGGAACATAGAGACGACGTTCCGTTCTCTGGCACGATGCTGCATCGCGGAGCACATTTACTGGGGAGATGCCTCATCATCCGTACTCGGCCGGGCTTCAACACCCCCCCAACCCCCTTCCCTTCGCTGAAACAGCGTGGCCAACTGGATGAGGTTGGATTCGCGGGCGAAGATTCTGACGAGGAAGACGGCGGAAATGGATCGCCCGGCGCCAGGTGAACGGTGCCGTTTTGGAGGTTCATTCAGCCACCCTAGAGGCAGCGAAACGTAAGGCCATCGGTGTGTTGGTGGCAGTTTTGAGCCCCGTGCTGAACGGACTCTCCTACCCGACGGCTAAAAATTGTAACCCGCAGGAAATTATTTTCTGGGGGCATCTACCAAACAATGACAAAACTAAACGCTTCCAAGGGATCACCCTCTGCGGCTGGTTCCGTGACACGTTCTCCTTGCTCGTGAGCCTGCACCGCTAGACTGAGCGAACTACGTTCCTTTTCTATTCTGCTACAGCACACGGCATGCGATAACTCTCTTTTACCCCCGTGCGCCGCTGCAACATCTCCTACTCTCTCCGACAGAGGGACAGATTCCTACGGGAAAGACAAGTCCCTGAAGCTCGAGGCCCAGTTCCTCCGCACCCTGGCGTGCAGAGCGGGAGTCCTGGGAGGCGTGTTCGCACGAGAGAGGCAACAAGGGGACGCGTCCCCGGGGTTAACAGGAGGAGGCGACGGCGTCGTGGGAATGGACGTCGATGAAGAAGGAGGCCCCGTCGCCGGGAAGGGGAAGGGTGGGGGGGTGAGGGGAGGCGTGCCGGGAGGCATGGGCGGAGCCGTCCCGGGACACTTGATGAGGCGCCTGCAGAGCCTGTCCTTGCGGCTGGTCGAGAACTACGCGCTCCTCAGCAGTAAGGACAGGGGCCTCGCCTGCCAGGGGCTTTGCCAGCTGTGGCTGGCGTTGTCTGGGCCCGGGCAGGGCGACAACCTCTCCCGCATGGTGTGTACCACGGTATTGAGTTTGCTTGTTGGCCTGCAGGATATGATACTATAACGGTTGGTACGGCTTTCCACGCGAAATTTTTTTCCGTGGGTGTTTGTCCCCTTGGCCACGGCTTTTGTAGAGAAATCCGTCTGAGGCGTTCGGTTGATCCGTAAAGCCTGGTGACCGAAACGGCCCATACCTCACTCACGCTGCGTCGTAATTCACTGCCCTACCTGTGTCTCCCCCGCGCTTCCTGCTCTGAAGCTCGGCGTCGTAGTCCAGAAAGGGGTAAGCCTCGCAGGTACGATGGAAAACCCGGGGGGCGGTATAGACGAAGCTGGGGAGCCGAGCGACGCGCCGGTGAAGTGGGTAGCTCCTGTCGATCCCGTCACGGGCGCCGTGGACGCGCGTCTCTGCTTCTTGTACGCTGACCTGTGGAGGCGTGTTGTGAACCCGGGGTCGGCGGAGCTTGAGCCCCTGCAAGCGTGGGAGGCGCTGCCTGGATCTGGTGAGAAAGAGGAATAGTCGTTTGTGTTTGTGTGTCTATTTTTGCGATAAATTTTCGGAATACCGCAACAATGAATTGCCTCGCCTTGCTGTTGGGTGCTCCTTGATTGTTATACGTAACGCGTACACTTTCGAGAAATGAAAGGTGTGTTGTCAGACCGAACACGTTGTCGTTTTTTTATGACATGGAAGAATTCAGCGAACGTACGGCTTTCCTTGTGCGAACCGAGAGATATTCATCTTTCATGGCGGGTGCGTCCTTGTTTTGTTTCGCGTATTTCCATGCGCGGTAGGGGCGGCGGCGGCGGCGGCGGCGGCGGCGGCGGCTGTGTCGGGGGTGTCGGGGGTGCTGTATCGAGACGCCATCGCCCCCGAGGTGTACGATGCTGTGCTGGGCGCCGTGCTGACGGCGGTGAAGAGGCTGGATCTACGCTACACCTACGGCACCCCCGAAGAAGGGGGAAGGTGCGTACATGTGGCAACATGTGGCACAATATTCCACTCACCCTGGACCGGTTTTCAAAGCTCGATTTCTCCACACCAGAAAGAGCAGCGACGCCGAAGACGGCGATGTTGGAGCCGTCTCTTGTAGGGCTTTCCGGACACGCATCGTTTTTATGTAATATGCATCCTCTTCGTCGTGGAGTAAGCGAGCTTTGAAAATCTGTCCAGGGTGTGTGGTGTCTTGTGCCACCTACAGCGTTTCAAACCACACGGTTTATGTTGCTATCTGTTTGCGTTCAGAAAGCTGCTCGATGGCAGTTGTGGGGGGAAAGGGAGCCCATGACACACGCACGCGTTTGATGTTTGAGCGCACCAAGCGTGTTCGCAGTGGAACGAGAGCACACACGTTTTTTTCCTGCTGTATTTGCGTTACGGCGCGAGCACAAGAGTTTAAAAGCGGCGGAAGATGCGCAAACACCACAAAAATTCAATCGCTAGCGTTTCCAGGCGCCGGAGTAGAACTACCATGTCCATTGGCGGCGATCGTCGAAAAGCTTCCCGTCCCTTTTTGGCGGTTCGTTTTTTTTTGTCCACGGAATCGACACACGGCGATGTTGTATGTCGCACTTGCTGCTTTTGGTCCCCCCGCGTGCAGGCCGATCCCTCTCCACGCGACGGACCAGAACATGTTTCTCAACCTGGTCTCCTTCTGCCAGGACCTTCTCCCGACGTGAGTCGCATCTCCTGTACCGCGCGTCAGCAACTGTGGTGGCGTGGAAATGTTGTGTACATGGGGCGTTGATACGATGTTGTCGCCTTTTGTTCTGTTGGATACTGTATCTACCCGTGGATACGGCAGTGGTGATGAAACAACCACGAATCGTTTGCTTGATATGCGTATGTATCTCGCTGTCGCATGTCCCGCAGAAGAATTCGCATGTGTGCCCCGGGTCAGGCAGAGCTCTTGCCTGACGAAGGCTGTAGAAGCCGGAATATCCCCACTAGGCTGGACGGCGCTGACTGAATAGTCTAGTGGTTTGATTTCGGCTTCTATGGCATTCGGACCCCACGCCTAACTTTTTTAGAAGCCGAAATCACATCATAAGACTAGTCAGCGCTGACTAGTCCACCAATGGTTCGATTTCGGCTTCTGCAAGGCACTGCCGAGAAAAGGACTGGTGGAACCCCGTGGCAGCTATAGGTACGGAGCCCGGCGGGATGACTACAAACGCTTCCGACACTCTGACCAACGAGAGCATGAAATGAATTGTTTTTCGTGTTACGCTTCCCCCGCTCTGTTTGTTTTAGGTGTCGCCCAGACCTTCTTTTGGAATGGGTTCCCATCCTCTGCCCGGAGCTCGTGAAACGGTCTTTGGAACGGCCGTTGGTAAGCGGGTTTTACCGGCTGGTCACCCTGGTATTCCGCGAGACCGCTCGCTCGGGGTATTTCGATGACCACACTGTGTCACCAGAGACCCCTTGTGATCAGGTAAGAACGCCGGCAGACAGGAAGGCATGTCGTCTTTGTTGTTATGGGATGCAGCGGAATGACGGCGCCGTCATAAAAATAAACAAAATCATGGTACTCCTTCCATTCCCCTGCTAATGCCCTGCACCGTGTACTCCCACGTACAGCCAGTGTCCCTTTGCGTGCAACATACCCCGCGTTTTAGGGGTCTTCTTAAACGGAACACGTCTCGCTCATTGTGTTTCCAAGTTTAACGGTTGGATTCTGGATTGCGCCGGAGAACAAACGGACAGTCTGAACATTTGCAAGTTTACAGAAGATTTGGATTGGTGTTTGGAACCCCAGGAAGGTTTCAGAACTTTGGATACTTAAGTCCAAATACGGTCCGTTTAGTAAACGGCCCTTCGTGTAAAGAGGGTGACAACGGCTTCGCGTCTCACTATTCCCGCTTTCGCCCTCGTGTGCGCAGGCCGTGCTGTGCCCCCCCTCGCCGGGATCCGTGGTCACGGCCATCGGTCTCGACGTGGGCGGAAGCCTGGGCGAAGGGGCCAGCAGCAGCAGCAGCCGCAGCAGCAGCAGTAGTGGTGGCGGCGGCGGAGGCCGGGGTGATCAGGTTTCCACGACTGGAGGAGGTGGCGGTGGCCAGGCCGCTGCCGAAGAGAGGGTCGGAGACGGCGGCGAGAGAATCAATTGCCGCAGGATTTTGTGCAGGCGAGTGGCGTCCGTCGGATATTTCGGTTCTTTTGTCGGGTTGTCTTGGCATGTTGCCACCCCCATTACACCCCAGCCCCCGGTGAAGTACCTCGAGTCGATGACAGCCGCCCTCCCCGAACACCACCAAACACGTACCCCCCGCGACAGGTACCTTGAGTGGATGACGGTGCGCCTGGGCGGCTTCCGCGACGAGCTCCTGGCCGCCTGCACGGAGACCCTCCTGAGCGCTCCGGTGGGATTGCTGGGGGGGGATCTAAGCCCCCTCGTCCCCGCCCTTAGGGCGGCGCTCACGTCCGGAACGTCGCACCTGCCGACCGCGGTGGTGGCGGTGGAAGCGCTGGAGAGGTGGAGGGAGGAGACCCCTAACCTGCTGTGGGCCCACTTGGGAGAGGTGAGGGGGGGTCGTTGATGATGATTTTCGCTTTCGAAAGCGTTTTGGGGCTGTTTTTTTTGGGCCTGGCGATGTCTCGTTGATGGCGATTTCTTTTTTCAGTTTTGGCGGATGGCGCATGTGTGGTTGCCGAGTCGAAGCGCTTGAGAAAAGCGGTTACGAGCCATCGCCCTGGGTTCAGGTCGAAGCTGCGCCGGAATTCGGTGGTTCTCATTCGGTGATGGCTCTTGTCCTTGGAAAAATCTGAGTGTTTTTATCCTTGCTTGCCGTCCCGCTCAGATCCTGCCGCACCTAGACAAGCACCTGTCCGCCGGCCCCGGGGGCGACGGGGGATCCGCCGAGAAAGTGAGGCGTTCCAAGGGCGGGAAGGCGGCGGGATCTTCCGCTTCCGCTGGGGGGAGCGGGGACACCGCTGGAGAGGAGTCGAGGAGGAAGGACTTACGCAGGAGGATCGTGCGATTTCTTGGAAGGCTAGGAGGGAGGTGTGTGTATTGGGGTGGTATTATGATAGCCACGCTGGAGAAACGTGATTGTTTTGTCGGCCGGAGCTTGAGGGTATTGGGGTCATTTCTGGTCGGGTATCCAGTGATTTGGCTGCACGAGATCGACATTCGGTTCTGTTTTTTTCTTGTGGTCTTCGACCCGAATTGACTCGAAAGCTTTGTGAGACGCTCGAAGGCAAAATACTCAGACATGAAAAGCTTGAATACCTCCTGATATGGCCAAACCATCGATACACCTCCGTTCTCTCTTTGACTGTTCCTCTGGTTTGATATTTTCTCTCGACGTGTCGTTCACCCGTAAAAGGGGCTGTAATTTGGTACGTCCCCCAAACCCTCTCAGATGTCATCAGGCCGTGATGCTCAAGTTCAGCGAGCAGCAGATGACGCGACTCCGTTGACGGCCCGAAACAACCAAACCCCAACCCTGATGTTCATGTATTTAACACATTGTGAAGTTTTGTACCTGGTACGTGTGAATTTCCAGATTTTCCTTCGATCTTTGGAAACGATTATGTCTGATACAGCTGTGTCTGGTGCACCTACTTGGCTTTTCTCCCCCATTGTCGGCGTGTTTTTGGTTGAACTTCAGGAACCATCTGGTCGCGACCGATGCCTCGAAGGCACTCTCGGACTCCCTGGCCTGGGACACGACGCCACGCATCCTCCTCAACGTGCCGTTCAAGGACAGGCAGAACCCGCTCACGATTTGCCTGGACGGGGTGCTCCAGAGGCTGGTCGAGCTGGCTCTGCACGAGGGGGCACGGCAGACCAAGACCCTGGCCGCGGAATGCCTCCACGCTCTCGTGGTCTACATGGTAGGCGTAGGCGTAGCTTTCGCAGGGTTGCACCTGTTTCGTATCGTTGGAAGTCGAACTTGGAGGTAGTTGGAAAAGTTCGTCGTAAAGCCAGATGGCCCCGTCTATTTGCCCGTTCAGAGCTAGCCTCTTCTATGGTTGGACGAAAACCTACCAAGACTCTCCTGGCGCTAGAATGTGTCGCCGGTCTACTCTTCGTGGGCACGTGGGAGATATTGTAGACCAATGAGAGTCCCGCTCCTTTACGGTCGAGTAATATTGGAGTGCATGTGCAATCAACCTCTTTTCGTTGGACAACTCTTTCGTCCGCACTCGAAGAAGTATCACGAAGCAACTTCGTGCCCTTCACGACCCTTCTTTCGTTGTTGGGCCTTACCTCCCTCCTCTTTGCCCTCTGTTCGGCCGAGCGACGCATGCGGAGACCTTGATACCCTATTGTAACGAGTTACCAAAGCCACCAGCTCGTCGAAAAGTTTGATACACTGTGCGACCTTTTGCTTCAATGTTTATCGTCTCTCTCTCTGCCTCTCTCTCTCTCCCTCTCTCTCTCTCTCTCTCTCTCTCTCTCTCTCTCTCTCTCTCTCTCTCTCTCTGCCTCTCACTCCCCCCCCCCCCCACTTCTTCTCTCAGGGTTTTCAATTTTCAGCTCTGTTGCTCCATTTTTCCGTGTGGACAACGCGGGTGTGTTTTTTAGGGTATCGTCATTTCCCTCTATCTTACGGCTGTATGACACCCCCCCCCTGTTCCGGCCCCCTCTAACGACTCGATATTTACAACATACCCGAAGGTTGGCTGCACGGCGACGGACCCTTCCTCCGGGCAGCAGGGCCGGCCTGGAGACTTCTCGAAACTTTTTCGGCGGGTGTTTCCCGCGGTCCTGCGGCTTGCCGTGGACCTAGACGAGACGACGAGGACCCTCTTTTCGAAGCTGTCCATGCAGCTCGTGCGCTGGTTCTCACAGGTGTGTGCGTGCCTGTGTTTTTGTTACTAGCGTCGACGATGCTAACCTGCTGACCAAAGAAAATACGTCAGTCTCAGTGCGGTTGAAAACACAATATGATTCTAAAGGGCATGATCTGGGACCCCATGAGGGGGCGTAATGTGGGAGGCTATGCTACACTCCGGATTCATGGCAGATACTGTACCAAGGTGTGTGTGTGTGTTTTCTTATTTGCACCGACCACGCTAACCGACTGACCAATGAAAAGATGTGTGCGTGTTTGGTTTTCATCGACCGCGCCAACCGGCTGACTAATAGAAATATGCTAGTTTTACACGGAATGAAAAAAGGCGAAGACGTGTTTGTGTAGATTTACTTGCACCGACCGCGGAAACCGTCTGACCGATGAAAAGACGTCACACTTACAGCGAGATACAAAACGCGTACACGCTTTCTAGCCAATGGGTTTTACCGACGGGGTGGCCGTGTGTCCGTGTGTGTCGTTGTCACTAGCGTCGACCGGCTGATCAATGAACAGACGTCAGTCTCAGCGCAACTACAAAACGGAAAACGCTTCCAAAGCCATGATCTGTAGCCCCGTCACGGCCGAGGCTAGGCTATTCTCCGGATCGAAGACAGAAACTTTAGCAGTCGAAGCGTAATGGACGTATATGTCGGTTTGGGATTCAGGAAAGGGATGCCGTCCGCTCGGGACGTCCCCTCATACGCAAACAACTTCGGGCCGTGTGCATCGTGGTTCACCAGCGACACTCTGCCACCTCTATCACGCCTTGCACCCTTTGTCTTTCTCCGCGCATCTCTCGCTACTACACTTTTTGTCGATTAACCGATGCATGCTGTTCGCCCCGGACGTGCCCCCATATGCAACAACAACTGCTACGGCAGGCGCAAACCGAAAACGACGACACGCTGGCGCTGCTGGACTGCCTAGGAGAGGGTGCAGCGGCGGAGGAAGGGGGGCCGCTAAGGGAGGTGTGCGCCAAGGGTGTCGTCGAGTTCCTCCGCTACGCCATCAAGCAGTCAACGAAGAGGCAACAGGCGAGGGGCATGTTGAACTCTTATTTTTGACTCTCAAGGGCGAGTAGGCAAAGCCCCGCTGATCATGGTAAAGTCGTCCCCGCTACAAGAAGGTCGCTCATATTTTTCTTAAAAAAAAGTGTCTTAGAAGCAGGGAGTTTACGTAAACGTTATCCCCTTGCCAAGCGCCGGAAATGAATAACCACGCACGGAACGCGCACCCGCCATTTTGGTCACCGATTTCGCAGGCGGAGGGACCCGTAGCAGTTGATGCGCTCCTGACGCGGGTGTTCTCCCTCGCCACACACCCTGACAAGAACCGACGCCTAGGCGGCCTCATGGCGTTCAATCAGCTGTGCCGTCCGCTTCGGGAAGAGACTGCTCTGCTCAACAGGTGCGCCGGTGGGCGTAATGATGGTGGTACCGCTCATACCTCGCTTGTCGGATGGATGGCATGCTGTGGTGGTTTAATTTTCACGTGATATTGGCAGCCGGCACGTGTGTGAAGCACGTTTTTCTTTTCTCTGTCGTGTGAAGAACAGCTGGTGTGCCACCCGCTTGAAGGGGTGAGTGAGTGCTCTGCTTGGAGCGTTTGGACAGCAGTGTCCAGCAGAACGAGTACACGCCGTCGTAGCCAGCCTGCACGCGATCTACAGACGGACGACACGGAACGGCTTTTCTAGTGGGAGTACGTAAAGGTGCCGCCTTTTCTCTCGTTTCCGCGCGCTACCAAAGACCTACCGACAGGGCTAGAGTGCCGAACGCTATCCATGTAAGCGGAACTATGGCTCGTTCCGCACATGCGTTGTTTTGGAAAGGTCGTCCGTGCATGTGCATCGTCGGTTCGCACGTTGCCCCTGTTTTTTCGACCGGTCCGTGGTCTTTCGCTCCGTGCCGGCAGGACCAACAGAGGATGCCCTGCACTTGCTCCACGTCGCGCTCGATGGTTGGGTATAGTTGTCTGAAGCGAAATCCACTCTTCCTAACCCCCCCCCCCCGAATTTCGGTCACGCGAGAGATTTCCCTTCCCCCCGTAGTTGCAGGCGTACAGGAAAAATGGTACACCTACCTCGTGTCCACCCAGAGGCTGGTGTTGTGCTCCAGCGCGTTTTAAGATGTTGTTCTCGGTCTCAAGCGTACTGCGCCGCGACTTGCCCGTGCGTTGCCTGCGTTGGAACGCTTTGAACACATGAAACATTTATGACGCGTGAGGTAAACGGCGCCAAGCGTTGACTCGGTGCCCCCGTGGCTTCACGGCAGGGGGGCGAGGTTGTTCGCACTATGCCCGATTTGAAATTGTCCTGGGTATGGCTTGGAATCAAAAGCAAGCACACGCTTACAACCGCCGCAGGTACGCCCTGCGCCTGCTCCACGTGGCGCTGATCTCCCTGCGACGGGCTCACCACGACCACTCGGCGCTCGGAGTGGCGGACGCGGCGTCCTCGGCCGTGGACCGCGCCCTGAGGGTAGTCCACGAGTCCATCACCGAAAAGGGAGACAGAGGAGACCTCCTCAGGAAAAGGGACGAAAGGGGCGAACTGCGGAGCGTCGAGGAGATGGCTGGTTGGGCTTGGGACCGGGTGAGAACGCTGGGCAACGAATTATACAGCAGTGTACTGGTGAAAATATGTACGTTGTGTAGATATCACGTTCCGCCGGCGATACCCGTTTTTTCCTTTTTCTTCGACCGTCCGTATTTCAAACGCAATCAGCACAACCAGCTCATCGTCGTCGCGGTTGCTGGTATTATTTGTTTTCAACGGTAGTAGTGTCGGCGTATTTTCAACAACCTCCTTGCGACCTCCTTCTTCGTTTAAACACAATTTTTCAGGTCGGCGCGGTTGAGACGCGATTCCGCCGCAAGTGCATGACCGTCCTGTTGGCACTGTGCCCGCTCGTCGTCGAAACGTTCGACGGCCTCGACGAAACCCCCTCGGAAAACGACGGCGCCCGCACCTGGGTGTGGCGGCGCCTCGAGGAATCCGGCAGGGCCGGCATAACGGAGGCGGTCCGAGTGTTCGAGAGCAGCGCGTCTCAGAGCCAAGCCTTCTCTTCGGCAGCAGTCGGGGGTGGTGGCTTCAAGGCCATCGGGGGCGAACAGGGGGCGGAACTGCGCGAGAATGAAACGATGGAGTGGGACAGAATCGCGACGGCCGCGGACTGCTACAACTTCGCCCGCGACACAGGGATCATTACGGCCGCCGAGCTGTTCCTTGGAGCGCCCAAGCGTGGCGGCGGCGGCGACGGCGGCGTCGGTGGTACCAGCCAGAAAAAGAGCCAGTCCTCCGGCAAAAAGCGGAAAGCTTCGTCTGCCCGAGAGGACGCGGCGGCAGACGGCAGTGGCGGTGGTGACAGCTCCAGCTACGGCTCAGAAGCTGCCGAGCCCCTCGTGGTCCGGTCGCTAGCCGGGGTCGTGGAACGTTTCGGGAAGTTTCTCGAGGACTTCCCATTCCAATCGCTTGCTGGGGAGGAAGAGCGTGATGGCGATGCCGGTGTCGTTCAGGGGGACGGGTTGCGACATCCGACTGTTGCCAATGTCAGCGGGACGGTAGCAGCGAGGTGGGGTCCAAACGATATTTGCTACCGCACTGTATGCGTAGGTCGCGCAAGAGACCCACATCCGCTTTGTTGATGTTACAGTCGTTCAGAATCTCCGCGGCAGAAAAATCGAATTTAGACTGAAAAGGTAGCGCTGAAAACAGCTGTTGGAGAGATTTCAAAGTATACTTTTCTCAGAGTTTAACAACCGTTTTTTTTCTGACGAAACAACGATATTGGCATCTATCGCGATCTACGATATTTCGTTGAGCGGTGCACGCTCTGCAGGACAGAGCTGGGTGTTGTGTTATTGATTCCCGCTCTTTTACCATGTTTGCATGATATAATATTCGTTGAGATTGGTAGTTTAACATCCTTGCCGCATCGAAGGGCTTTTCAACACGTGGGCGGCTGGGGCCTGAGGATATTCACCCAAGTGTTAGATCGGGGAACCACGCTCGCTGGTTCGAGGAAGCACCATCCTTGGACATACGAAGTGGTATCGTTCGGTCGCACATACTGTTCTAGGTTGCAGCGATTCCATTCACTCCACGAAGCACATGATTTTGTATCACGTCCCTGTTCTCCTTCGTGTTTCGAGTCCATTCCAAAGGCCTGACAAATAGTACCCTCCCTGTCGTGCCGAAAAGGCGCAGTTCGAACCGCTTCATGTTGTTTTGTTCATCCCGAAACCGTTGTTATTGAGATTGACAGCCTTTTCTATACTCCTACGTGCCCTTTCTCCGGCGAAACAGGCTGGCCGCGGAGGCGAGCCGACCTCTAGTGGTGGACGACCCGGGCCTGCTCCCGACGGAGCGGGCGGCCGCGCAGCTGTCCCGGGCGGTGCTCCTCCGCCGCGGTTTCACGCTCCTCGCCGGCTGCTTGTCCGACGACGGCGCCCGGAGAGACGAGATGGCCGCGTTTCTGGTGAAAGAAGGCCTCTGGAGCCGCCGCGCGCACCTGGTCGTGATATACTGTCTCGTGTGGCCGTGGGCCGGGGAATTTCTCCCTCGTGCTTCCGACGGGGACGAAGTGGAACAATGTGAGGGGCGAGGTCGGGGTCGGCCATGATCATGCACGTAGTACCCTTCGACGATAAACCTCGCATCCCCTGCAAAGCCGGGGCGTATTGCGTGCGTTCGCCCAACCAGGGAGAGAGAGAGAGAGGGGAGGAGGGCAGGGACCACAAAACCTGCGCCCATGAGTGTGTTTGTCGGCGTGTCTTCGAGCAAGTATCCCACGTACCGGTGACCGACTAAGCCGTCCCTGCACCCGATAGGAGCTCTGTACCAGCGTGTACCCTAAGGAGAATAGGTAATCACAACGGGAGCAGGAATATTCAGAATCTCGAAATACAGCAGAAAGTCAAGTTCGTATTCCTCGGTTGCCAGCTACCGTTACGGCAGCTTTGGCTTTTCCCCCTCGGAAACGTGTTCCTCAGCGTGTCCGAACTAATTTTAGGAAGACCCGTGTGCTTTTTCTATACTGAAGCGCCAACCGTACACTTCGGATACCCATCAAGTCGGTCGTCTCTGGTCGTGTTTTCCAACATCCACAACGGGTGATTATTGGAAGGGATCAGGGCCGAGGTCTGCCCACCCAATCCGCTTTCAAGTTTTAACAAGCTCTCTCTTCGCTCGTTCGCTTGGCCCTCTTTCAACGCTGGATTGCAGTCCTACCGGCAGCGGTGGAACGCCTTCTGAAGCACTGGAAAACCTTGGATAATGCCGCGGGGCCAGGAAACGGGCTTTCCGAGACCCTGCAGAGCCTGCTGCGAGTTCGGGTCTCCAAGGAAGACAGCGCTAGGCTCTCGGCCGCTAGCCCTAGCAGCGGAGAAGACGATGCTGTCGACCTTTGCCAGTGGATTTTGGCGCAGTCCCTTTCATCCCAGCAGGCGTTGTCTCGCCCCTTCGTCTCCGGTCGTGCTGGCAGGAAACCCTCTACCGCACGCAGCAACGCCAGGCGTTCACCTACTCCTCCCGACGACGAACTCACGGGCCGCGTTATTCGAGCGTACAGGTCTTTCGCGAACTCCGGGCTCTTTGGCAGTGTCGGCGGCGGCGGCGGCGAAGCGTTTCGCCTTGCCTCCGGGCTTTGGTCCACGGTTGTCCGCCTCCCGGAGGGGCTGCGGCCGGCGTCCGAGCACCGCGCAAAGACGGTTCTGCGGCTGTCGATGGACCTAGGCCTTCCCACGACAACGGGAGCTACCATCGGTGCCGCCTCCATCCTCGCCGGCTTGCTAGATTTGCACCCGGCGAAACGAGCGGCGGCAGCGTCTGCGGTAGGTGTGGGCGGCGCCACTCGTGGCTCTCTCTTCTACCGCCGATTTTCCGAGCCAATTCACGATGCGCTGCTGAGGCGTGGAGCTGGCTGCCCTTGGTCCAGCGTGTGCAAGGCACTCGTGGATGCCTGTTTGTCCACCACCGCCGGGGAGACGCGCGGTCACCACCCCTTGCTGGCAGCGCAGGCGTTTTCTGTCCTCGAAGGCGTTTTGATCCTTCAGTCGGAGCGGGCGACGGGGGCGACGACCCTCACCTCGCGGGCCACGATGGACCCGAGCGAGACGCTGAGCGTAATTTTGCCCGAGTTTCGACGCCTCGTCGAGGACCCTGACTGGGGCCCGCCGCCGACCGCCGTGCGGGGGAAGACCGGCGGTAGCGCGGCCGTCGGGGTTCACGGCACGGGAAAAATGCTGCGCGAATCTCTCCGTCTCTGCCACCGCCTCCTCCGGCTGGCCGCGGCTGTTAAGTCCGGGTCTCCCATCGCCACCTCGGCCAGCGGCAGCAGCGGTTCGTCCACGACGTCGCCGCCGTACTTTGAGCGGCTGCTGGAAATGAGCGCCCTGTTGGTGGCGCGGACGCTGGGGTCGTCATCTTCGGTTGTTGACGCCTCCACCAAGGCGGACGCTCTCACCCTTGTGCCGTTCTTGAGGCCGTGCATCACGCGAAAAGCTCGGAACTACGGGCATGCCGTCCCACACGCTGGGAGGCAAGGCGAAGGTGGAGCCGGTGGTGCCGGTGCCAGCGCAGGGGGTAAGGGGAAGTCCGACGGGCTAGTGATGCCCGCTATGGAGGAAATGATGTCGATGCACTTCCCGATCGACAACAGCCGAGAGCCAGCGGAAGGGTCGGAGCAGGCGACCGCGTTCGCGCTGCTGCTGAGGGGGCTGCTCGGTGCGTTCGTGAGGTGCGGGGACCTTGGCTTGCTGGAGCTGCTCTTCGGTACCCTAGCGGAAGGCCGGAAGCACCGGCACTACAGGTGGGATTTGCGGATAGCACGCTACCCAGGAAGGATTAGGTTGCCCATCGCCCTTATGACCCTCCGCCTCCCCCGTGCAGGGCGCAGGAAAACGCCTTCGAAAGTACGTATTGGGTTGATGTAGGGGCACTAAAGGAGAAAGACTAGCACTTGAAGAATTGCTCCGTGCCAAGAACCCCAGTAATGTCTGGCACACGGGATGCATTTCACTCACAGCCTCCTTGCTCACCCCATGCCGAATTGGTTTCATGCGCCTGGCATAGCTTCGCCTCTTGCGTTCGTGCCCACAGATTGGACCAGGCTTGATCTGAACATGTACGTCACGATGGAACAAACACCGGATGGCACAATCTCTTCTCAACTTGCGAAACCCACATGATTCCTCCTCCGCCCCCCTCCTTGCTGTCACACGCCACCACAGATGGGTCGACAAGGCCCTGGATGCCTTCGTTTCCGGGCTGGACATGGAGGCGAGCGGCGTGGCGGAGGCCGTGCTCGGATTCTGCCTGGACAAGCTCACCGCGGGGAGAGTCGGGGCCAGCGTCCGGACCATCCTGTTCGACAAGGTGTGCCTGCCGATGTTGCGGCACTGCCCCGCAGAAATCGTCAAAAGCCTGTACCTGTCGGCCACTGCGGGCAGCGGGTTCAGGCCCGTTTCAAAGGGGAAAGCGGTCGAGGGGGCCTTACTCAGACGCCTGTTCGCGGTTATCGGGAAGCGCAGCAAGGCTGGGGCGTTCCTTGACGGCCCGCTGGTGGCGTCGTGTTGCTTCTCGCTGCTCGAGGTCTTGTACGACGCGTTCGACCTCGAGCCGCTGCAGGCCCTGGCGGACTCGGCGTTCAGGAAGAAGAAGACGAGCGAGGACGGTCCCGCCAAAGAGCGGCAAGAGGGGGACGAGGAGAAGGCTCTAACTCTCAAGGATGTCACGCTCGGGGTTTGCAACGCCTGGAAGGCGGTGGTTGCCTCGGAGGAAAAGTTCAGCCAGAATTGGCTCGAGCTGCGCTGCCGCCGGGCGGTGTTCTCCTGCGTATGCACAGCCGTTCGCGCAACCCAGGACAAGGAGAAGTTCTTCGACAAGCTCGTGTGGTCGGACGCCCTCTACGCCAAGTCGTCGGGGCCGGGCGGGGGCAAGACCAGCGTGCTCGCCCTTGTCCTGAACATGGAGACCGAGCACACGTTCGAAGTAAGCCCCAAGGTGTTCCAATCGTCTCGGCTTCTCCCGGCGCGCCCTCCCCCGCTCGGCCGCGGCCGAAGCGCGGCGACTACGGGTCGCAGCCGCGGAGGCATGACCGCTTCCTCGATGCTCTCTCAGAGCAGTCTCGGGTTCGGCGGTGATTCGCTGGCTGTGGTGGCGGGCGGTGACGGTGGTGCTGCGGACCCCGCCGCGGAAGACGAGAGAGAGACTTACAGCAGCCAGGCCGCGCTGACGGAGCCGGCGGGAGTTCCGGAAGGGGACGGAGAGCCGGGGACGGACTCCCAGCATCCCCGGTCCCAGTCGCAGTCCCAGGGTGACATGGCCCCGGTTTTCGGGCGTGGGGCTGTCGAGAGTGCTGGGGGCGGAACGCGGGGAGGGGGAAACGCGGAAGAGGACGCTGTGTTTCTCGAGATGAGTCACGTGAACAAGGAGCCGTGCATGCGGTCGCTGCTGCAGGTGATGGTCGCCCAGCAGCGGCTGTTCGGAGACAGCTGGAACGAGCAGGTCGACCAGAGCAATGGAATGTAAGCACGTGCGACCACGATTGGGTTGACTGTCTTTGCTGCTGCCATGCCTCGTTTCCCAGATTTAACACCCATGCGCCTCGTGGAAATTGCGGCGTCCACCCATGGTGACGGCGCATGGGCGACGTCGCGCGTGTGCATACTGGTGCGATTGTGGCCTCTCCAACTAAAAAGAGTCCTGTGCACCACGCTAATAACTGATATTTTGAACGCCGTAGGTTTGAGCCGGCGTGGTCGGTCAAGATGAGGGCCAAGCTCGAAGACATCGACCTCCCGCGAAACGTGCGCATCCTGGCGTTCCAGTTCGCGCTCAACGCCCCGGTCTCGACCGCTCTGTTGCCGTGGGCGGTGCCGTGGATCAAGGCCTTGTCCGACTTTGCTCTGGCGCCGCTCCCTGAAGGTGGCCCGCCTGTGGCATGCGTGCCTTGAAACGATCGTGGTAGTGTGAAGGAGATACTTGTCGTGGTTGGTCCAGCAGAAGCCAACGAAACATAAGAGGAGGGCTGGGGGGGGTGACAAAAGGTGTCCGACATGTCGTGCGTGGGAAACACTCAAAACGCAGCGTCCACAGCGCTCCTCGAATTTCTAATTCGACCGCCAATCATGTTCCGCATGATTTTTCGTGTAGCTGCAACGCTGGGGCTCTCGTGATGTACCCGGCATCCTCCTTACCCCCCCCCCCGAAGAAGTACTTGGACGGTCCCATGGACTATGCGAAAAAGCTGAAATTGCAATTTCGAGTAGGCGATCTGGACTTGCCAGAACGGAGGAAGAGGTATACCAGCCGTAGGAGAGAGGAAGAGGAGGATAGACACACATGTCCATGTGGCAAATCGGAGGAGAGTAGACCCCACATAGTTGGGGAGTGTGAGTTGTACAGGAAGGAAAGAGAGGATCTCGAGGAGGAAATGAGACAGAGAGGGTGTGACATGGACAAGTTTGGTAAATTAGACAACAGCGAAAAAACGATCGCGATCATTGGGGATAGATGGTGGGCACAAGAGGCCCTAGAGGACGGGGATAAGATGTGCAAGAAAAATTTATGGAGTTTGTGGCAGAAACGTAAAGAGCTCCCAAATGTTGGTGGTGTCTCTAGTAGGTGTAGGAACGGTGCTCCGTCTCGAAAGGGACGCGTGGTCAATGGTCAAATGACTACGGCAAGCAACAAATGAGTACGCCCCCCCCCCCCCCCTAGCCGTGCACAGAGAGAGCTCTTTGCCATCATACTGACCGCGCTCTGTACCTGCCGGAACACGAGGTCGAGAGAAAGAAAGAGGTGCGCGCTCGATGATTGGCGCAAATGTTTCACGTTTTTGCCGCCATTGTCCGACACCTTACCCCCCATCCGCAGGGTTGAGGACCGACGGGGAGGACGGTCTCCACTACCTCCTACGAGACTTCACGCTGCTGCTCCTCGACGAATCAGGAGCGAGCGGCTGGGGCCGGGCCGTGCGAGAGGCGAGGGCGGAAGAGCGGCGGAGAGCGGCGGAGGCGGGGGGAGACCCCGGGGACGTTTCCCGGCAGCCCCTCCTTGACGTTGGCAACCGCCTGGTGTCGCACCTGATGTCAGTCGCGAGCTGTCCCGACGGGAAGACGCCGATGCTGCGGGCTAATGTGCTGCTCGTGGCCGGGTTGGTCGGTCTCTTCGGGGACGAAGTCGTCGAACAGACCGACCACAACGGCGACGTCATCCGTATGGAAGGGCACCGAACTGGAAGGTGTTCATTGGTGTTGTTCTACATCCTGCGTGCCTACTCAACTAGCTCTACAACCCAGAGTCGTTGTAACCCTTTTCAGTTCGCTCTACGTGTACCCGCCGTCGTCTGGGAAGCAAATTGTGCATTGTGGTATGTAGGTGTTAGGTGTGGTCTGCGCTTGCTGGCACTACGTTCGCTTGTGGACGCGCTGTCATGAACGAGATGCTAGTGCCGCTGGAAGAGCGATTGGCCAACCGTCACGTTGTCACCTCGACGCTACTCAGAAGCCACCAAGCATTGTTCTCATGGCTGAAATTGGAAATCTTGCGTATAGCGATACTCTGCAAACAGCACGAGCAGGGGCAGCGACAACTAGATAGAGAGACATGGGAATGGCTTTCCTTGCCCCAACTCATCACACAGACCTGTTGGAACACCCATTGCTACTTCTCCTGTATCTCGAACCACCTCGTTTTTTCTCGTTGCCTGTATTTGCCGATGACAGGACGAACGACCTCCGACTGAACCTCCAATTTGTCGTCGACATGCTGAAGGAAAGGGAGGGCCACACCGGAGGCGCCCACGCCAGCACCCAGAGCAAGGGGGTACAGGTAAGCGATGCTCGTATAATTTCTAACGTGGCGATTGGGGGGGCGGGGTGAGGAGCGACCGTTTCTGCCGTCGGTTATCAAGCCTGTTCTTGGTAAATTCGAGTCCATTGCACATATTGGGAGAGCACTGGGCGGGGGCCTCGTATCTCTCTCCGTTAAGACTGTTATTTGATGCCACTGATATCGACGAAAAACTAACTGATGCTGCTGTCGCGCAACCCGAATGGGGGGGTGGGGGGTGGGGGGGGGCACGCAGGCGAAGCACACCATCCTCACGGGCCTCAACCTCCTGGGCGTGCTCCTGGGCATGAAGGTCCCCGTGCTCACGTCCAGCGTGCCCGCCGCGGACCAGCTGGCGCGCACCCTCCCGGACGTCTGCCTGTCCTACACGCAGAAGAACACCTTCGAGACGGGGACGGAGCTTCTCGCCATGGCCCTGGCCCACGTGTCCTGGCTCGAGGAGGACGGGGGGTTACCGTTGGGGGACAGCCTCTGCCCGGTCTTGCGCCAGGCGGAAGGGTCGGAGTGGCTGGCGCGCAGGGTCACCGACCGGCTCATGCGCATGGTGGGAAGGAAATGAGAGAGACCATTTGTTGCTGATTGTTGTTGCTGTTGTTGTTGTTGTTGTTGTTGTCGTTGTCGCGGCTCTTGTTGTTGTTGTTGATGATATTGATGGGGCTGTTACTGTTGTTGTATTGAAGCTACAGTAGCGGTAACATTACAAGCGGATGCTCCCGCTGACCGTGTGCCTTGTCACCGCGGGTGGTCTGTACTCGTCTCCACCCCCCGAGCGCAGGGGAGGGACGGGAAGCTGCGGAGCCGCTTTGTTCACGCCGTGGCGGCAATCTCCGGCGTCTACCCGGCAGTGATGACTCGCCAGCTGCTCCTGAGTTCCCTGGGGGCGATGCAGTTCGCAGACGCTTCCTGTCGGGGACGCCTCCTGGAAACCCTCGCCGACAACTTTCCCCGGTGAGAGGCTTGGAAAGGATATTTTAATCCCGTCGCCGTTGCCGACATCACTGTCGTTGATGCTTTTCGATCTTGAACAGAACGCGCGCCTGTTTTCGCCGTCACATGCGCCAAGAGGTTGCGGCGAAAGCAAGCGGAAGATAAACTCGTCGCAAGGGGGGCAAGGAACGAAAGCGAGTCAACAGAAACGACTATGTACCACCACCGACAACAAACAACAACAACAAAGTCATGTACCCCGCTCAACGTTCTTGTGAACCGAACCGAAACAACACAGTGGGCAGGTGCCGACCCTGGAGGTGCAAGACCTCTTCACGAGGCTGCAGCCGTACTTGCCTTCGTTGCTTCTCGAGCCCGAGGTGGAGTTCGTCCGCGGGTCTAAGGAGGCGGGCACACCCTCTGAATGGGTGCCCAGGGCGCAACTGTCGGCCCTGCGGCTCCTTCGCGAACTGACCAAGACGATGACGTCCAAGCAGGTTAGGGCCGACGGAAGGCTGTTGCTGTTGGTGTTGTGTTGGTTGTTGATGTTGTTGTTATTCTCTTCTCCGTTGCTTCGGTTAATGTTGTTGCTTTTTGTGTATTTGCTTTTTTCTTGCTCTTCGTCGTAGTTTCACCATTGTGTGCTGTGGCTGTGTCGCGTCTTTCAAGCACTCTCGCGGCAAAGCGCAACGCCCGTCGCGGTCTTTGTTCCGCGTCCGGAGCGAGTTCGATTTGAGTACAGTGGATGTCGCGCAGAAGTAAAAAATTTCACCTCGCAGAAAGTACTCTTGTTTCTCATCCGGTTGCACCTTCCGGGAACACTCTATACGTAACCCCCCCCCCTCCGATGCACTCCCTGGTATTGTAGATACGTACATGACGCATTGTGACGCCTTCCTTTCGTCATCGTGTTCCCCCCCACCACTCGCCACTCTGAAGCAGCTCATCTGGCTGCACCCTCCAGGATAGTCTATACATACCCCCCCAGGGATGCGAGGTCAATGGTCTAACGACTACGGCATGCACAGCTATGCATCCCCCCCCCCCCTCTTTCCTGAAATTGTGGTAGATATATCCATGAAGCGGTTGCCATGCCCCCCCTCGTCTTACCTCCTCTCCCCTCCCGGCCCCCTTGAAACAGCTCGGTGCCGTGCTTGGCGAGGACGACGCGCATTCCCTCGTGGGGCTGGCCACACCGTCGACCTACAGGGGGTGCCGCGAAGTGGCGTACGCTACCCTCCTGGACTTGCACGTGGCCGCCCGGGAGCAAGGGGGCCTGGCTAATAGCGGCAGCGGCAGCGGCGTCGGCGCGAAGGGGGAAGGCGCGCGAGGCGGAGCGGCCCTGACCCATGCCCAGCGGGAGACTGTTCGGTGCGCCCTGCTGCGTGGGCTGTCGGATCCCGACGACGACGGTGAGAGGCCTCCGTTTGCTGTACCCTTAACAAGGCTGTGCCTTTTCTGGGGCTACGTCAAGGGAGAAGGTGCCGCCGCACCCGATCCGCACGGTTGCAATTGAGACCTTTACGGTTGCGAAAAAATGTGTCGATGTTTTTGGGGCAAATGATGTAACGTTTCCCTAGACGAGAGGTGAGAGAGAACAAATGTGCACGGCCTTCCAAATCCTATGCCTGTGGGCGTTCGGGCTCGCGTTCTAGTTGCTGATATTGACAGCCAACAGCCCACCCACGTAAGCTGCAGCGAACGTTTTCTTGACCATGTTGACACGGTGCTTGTTCTGTTGTTGTCATGAAAAGCACGGGAAGTTGTGGTATGTACTGCAGCGCATAGTAAAGGCGGAGTCACTTCGACGATCTACTAGAGCGGGGGCGAGGAAGAGGCGGGGTGTGTGTCAAGTGGCCAGACCGCTGAGCCTTGCCAAGGTATTCCCACCACCCGCATGAAAGAAATCGCGTGAAAGAATCGTGCGAAAACTCGCCTTGAGAGACATGCTCGTGAGAAGGTACCGTTGTTTGGTTCGTACGTGACCGTGTTGCGAAACTCTCTGACTGGTGTGTCCCCTCGCGCATGCGACGTATAACCCGGACCTCCGGACGCAGGCATGACGTTCGATGACAAAGCCCCCGCGGAAGCCGGGGCAGAGGGAGGACGTGATACCAACACGCCTTCCCAGCCGCGGCGCCACGGAATCAGGCGAAGCCTCCTGGAGGTGTTCGACGCGCCACCTTCCGCGGGGAACGGCGGCGGGGGGTTGGAGGAGGATCCCGGTCTGCGTCTCCTCTCGCTGATGAGAGACATGTTCGACTCGAGGACGGCCCGCGCCTGGCTCAGGTGATACTTATCTTGACGGGACGGGCATTGTGGCATGCGTAGTTTATCGCCTTTCTGTTTATGTCTACCTGTCTGTCTATCTGTCCGTCTGGATCGCTGTCGGGCTTGTGTCTGTCCCCCGCCAGGGTACATGGAATTACTGAGATTCCCCTCGTTCCCCGTGACCCTAGCGTGTGAGGCATGCACCCTCGAAGCAGCTGTGTTTATCCTCAGTTGTCTCCTTCACTCGCCGCACACTCTTCCTCCGAATGTGCCGAAGGTTTGCGCCGTACTTGCTGCTGAGGCCGGCGGAAGAGGCCTCCGGGTACAACGATGTTCTCTTCAAGAAGTCCCTGCTCTCGTGCGAGTTCGTGAACATGTCCGTGGCCGGGGGGGCGGGCGGGGGGGTAGACGCGCGACCCATGGAGCCGGCCTTCTCGTACGCTTCGCTTAGCTCGCAGCAGCTGGTAAGATTGCTGCTGTTCTTGCTGATGGCGTTGTCTCTGTTCCGAGCTATCTTGCAACAGCTGGAATCATCGTGGTGGTTTTGATGTTGCTGATGTTTTCGATCGTCAACTTAGCTCGCAACGGCTGGTAGCACCGTTGTTGCTGGTGCCGGTGCTGGCTCTCGTAGGAACGAGAGTATTCTTCGGGGGGTGCATGCACCAAACGAGCCAGATCGTTTCAGGAGCCGTTGCGATTTGGAGGAGCCTCTATGCCTGCGGTAGTTTGCAGCTGTCTAAACGGATGACACATAGCGGGACACACAAAAACGAGTAGCCACAGTATTTACCTTGGAAAGAGTGCCGGTCCCCTCCAATAAAGGGAAGTAATCATCAAAAGAGAGAACACGACCACCGAGAGCCTGGTCCGCCCCCCCCCCGGTGTTTGCCATCGGGGTTGGGTTTTCGTCGCTTGGCAACGATGTTGTAAAACAAGCCAACTCACTTCGTGAACTCGGCAACCAGGTTACCGTTTTTTTTTTTTTTACCTCTGTTTTTTTTTTGGCGGTAACCATAATGGTGGTCGAGTAGATCATGTTGTGCGGGGTCGAGAACCCTCACTCCGCGCAACGGGGGATGATCGCACCACGTTGTGTTAAAATGGTCAAGCATCCTCGAGGCAGTTACACATGCTTATAACTGTCTCTGGAAGTGAAAGCACCAGAAAATAAATTAAGTCATGCGCAGCTGTCATCCGTACGCAAGGAAGTGAGCACAAGATGCCGAACACCCTTAGCAGGATGCAGCGCACCCTTCATGCGACTCGCCGAATACCTCACGGCGCTTCGCGCTTGGTGTTGTGAGAGCCTGGTCCGGTGAGAACCCGGCGTGCTCCGTCCCGGCTTTGTAGGGATGCGAGGTCAATGGTCTAACGACTACGGCATGCACGACATGAGTACCCCCCCCCCCATGCGCACCGCGATTTCAGAGCCAAGACAATGCCAGCATCGCCTCTTACAACAATGGAGGCGGCGGCGGCGGTGGCGGCAGTTACGGAACCATTAGCACAGACGTTGAAGTACGAGAAGCAGGTTACTTGAGGGCCACCCAGGACTACCTCTGGTCTCAGACCCAAGGGGCCGGTGGGGGGGGGCGGGCTGCCGGAAGGCGGGGGGGGGGGGGGGTCCCCGCCCCCCCCGGGGGCCCCGGGGAAAAAATTTGGTTTTCCCCCCCAAAACCAAAAAAAAAAGTGGGGGGGCCCCCCCCCCAACGGGGGGGGAACTTAAAATTTAAAAGGCCTTTTTAAAAAAAGGGGGTTTTTTTTTTTTTCCTTTTTTTCCAACCCCGGGGGAAAAGGGAAATATTGGGGGGGAAAATTTTTTTGGGGGGGGGAGGGGTCCCCAAGGAATCCGGGGGAAGCCGAAACCCCCCCCCCAATTTTAATTTTTTTAAAACACCCCAAAAAAAAAAAAAAAGCCTTTTTTTTTAGGGGGGGGGGGACTTTCCCCCCCCAAAAAAAAAAAGGGGGGGGGGGGCCCTTTTGGCGGGCCCAAAAAAAAAAACCGGGGGGTCAAAACCATTTTTTTTTAAAAAGCTTTTTTTGAAAAAAAAAAAAGGGGCCCCCTTTTTTGGGGGCCCCCCTTAAAAAATTAAAAAAAAGGCCCCCCCCCCCCGGGGGCCCCCCGTTTTCCCCCTTAAGCCCCCCCCCCCCCCCCCCCCCCCCGATGTTTTCTCAGCCGGGTCCCAGGCGGCGATGCCCCCGCCGGCCCCACGCGCCCCGGGGACGCGCGGTAGTGGTCCCCGGGGGGGAGGAGGAGGCGTGTCTAGCCAGGCTGGGGGGGTGGGGAGACGGTTCTGGCGGACGTCCGGGGGGTCGGTGTCGAGCATTGCCAAGGGCGAAACGTACGCGATGCAGAAACGTATGGCGGCGAAGCGTGCCAGGGACAAAACCACGAGGGCGAAGAGGGTGAGACAAAGGAGCGGATGGGGAGAAGGGGAGAGGGAGAAAGGGAGAGGTGGGGTATATTTATGGAGGAAGAAGAGAACGGATAGCAGAGGAGAGAGGCCGTTCTTGGAAAAATTGTTGAGAGTTGTTTCGAAGTCTCTCGTGAAAACTCGGAGTGCAAGGTAGGTGTGTTGGCGAGAACCAACACCAGAATCAATCAGGTCCTTCCCAACCCTTCAACACAAAGGAAAAGAAATAAACTCACAGCAATCGATAGATAGGAGCCCAGGGAAATCACTTTGAACACGTAAAATGCTGTGCAACCTACCCGTGTGTGTATAGTACTGACCCTCGAGCAACATGCAGCGACGTGTCACGGTTAGATTTATGTTTTTGATCTTGCAGCCTCAGGGAGAGGAACCCTTCTGTGTGACCACGGGTCGGAGCAAAACGCCACAAATGCTGTGAGCACTGATTTGAAATGAAGACAAAAACACACAAAAATACAAGTCTTCTGTGTGACGACAAATTCGAGCTCCCGGCAGAAATGCTGTCAGCGCTAATTTACGGTGATGGAAGAAAATAACAGTCTGCCAATGTTCTACCTGCTCGTGGACCGCCTCCCAAAGGGTCGCTAAGAGGAATGTCGCCAATCTTTCATGCGGCTTGCCGAACACCTAGCCGCAACAAGTCGCCCTTTCTGCCTTTGCCTGTAGCCTGGTCGGCGATAGCACGACAACGCACTCCGTCCTAGCCAGCGTTGAAGTATGCCGGGGCCCGTGATCCGAGGACGACGACCGTGCAGGATGACAACTACAATAACCCCCTTCCTCCCCATCCCTCCACTCGTTGTTTTTCGTTTTCAGGCCGTGATATACCGAAAGTATCGGGACGGTGAGCTGCCCGACATCATGATCAAGCTGGGAGACGTGCTCCGGCCTCTGCAGCACCTGTCCATGCTGGATGGAGGGATCGCTCGGGAAGTTTTCGTGCAGATCTTCAAGGTGGCAAACCGAAAACAGTGGCGGATCATGACGTTCTTGAATCGGATAATTGAATCGGAATACTTTTTTTGCTACCAGTAATAAGAATCTGTAAAGCTCTCTACGTTCTAGGGATGAAACAACATATTTTTCTTGTAGTTTTTCGGAAGTGCCTATGCATATGCATACGGTTAGGGGATCATGGCTCTTTTCTGTAGAAGTTTCTGTTTGTGGTGTAGCACTGTCCCCGTCAGGTTAGGCCTGCCTTCCGAAATCGTGGCCAGAGTGTGAGGATCGTAGCACAGTCGTAGGCCCTCTGTAAGGTGGTTATATAAGGCGGGTCCCCGCGATAGGGCGGGTGAAATCGCTTGGATAATAAATTGAAAAGTGCGGGTGCCCTGCATAGGGCGGGTGAATCGGTCTGGCGCATACCGCTGTACCTGCCTTATAGAGGGCCTAAGACCAACGCCACCCACAACAACGGCGATACCAACAACAGCGACATAATGAACCGCATATTCATGATAGCCCAACCCGTCAACAGGGGTTTTTGCAGGCATAGAACGGCACCCATCAAAAGGGTGATCTGCGTTTTTTATGGAATAATAATAATGCATTTTTTATGGAATAGGGTGCTATCTCGCATTTTTTCTTGAAAATTCCCTTCACCTTCACGTCGTCGACACGCCTCCTCGCAGGAAGTGTACGCGGGATTCGGCGGCAGCGCCCGCAACCCTTCGGCCTCCCAGCCCGCCGACAAGGCTCGGACGCAGCCGGAACTGGACGACGAGATTCAGAGGGAGGCATCTGTCGGGGAGGGGAGACGTGCGGTGTCGGTGTTGCTGCAGAGAATGCTGTCGGCTGCTAGGTACGCTGTTGCTGGTGGTGGTTGTAGTGTCATCGTTGTTGTTGGCGGTCCTTCCTTTGTTCCAGCTCTTCCTTGTTTCTTCTGTCTTTCCCCCTATTTTCTGGCGGCATTTTCTCTTTCTGTTTTGTCACGTTTATCCTTGTTCCCACCACTCCCCTCCGGCTATTCGCGGCAGCAAACCACCCTAACCAACCCGACAGAGACCAAGTACGCTCTGGCTAGCTTCCACAAAAGGTAGGCACCCGCACAGAAGCTCCCTGTCCCTGGGTCCCTGACAAATCCCTTTTTTTTTGCGTCTGATCTAGGCACGACACGGATGTCGTGGCCTGCCTCCACGCCGCCTGCCGGGCGACCGCGACTGCCGTGGTCAACCCGCCGTACACGGACAGCGGCGACGGCGGCGACGGCGGCGGTGGCGGCGGTAGTGGCCGATCGTCGTCGTCTTCCCTGCAGCAACGGGAACAGAGAGGCCAGCACCACAAGGGTCGGATTATTCCATCGTCGTCGTCATCGTCTTCGACGGCTGCGACCGGGAGGCGTGCCCGGATAGCAACCGCAGAGGTAAGGAGCGCACATTTGACTTCATACAGATTGGTATACATTTTTACTTCTACTTCGAAGTAGAAGTGTGTGTCTAGGTTCGTTGAGGTTCGCTGGGCTGTTCGAGTCAAGAGCGCGTAAGCTGTACGAGCTGTTGACCTTGGGAAACGTTATCACGTCTGGGAGCTGACTACCAGCTGTGGGATGTGGTCCTGCTGTTTGTTTTCATCTTGTACGTAATCCCTTGATAGTTCTGTGCTCTTTTGAGCCCAACCCGGACCACTTATACGTATATCGTCAATTCGAGTGGAGTTTTCTCGAGTGGCCTTTCTTTGACGGTTTTGAAGACGGTGGTAATTTCGATCCATCGAAGCAAGCCTGTCAAGCGGGCACCGCAATTCAGTTTGGCGCTGCTCCCCTACCACACCCTTCTGCGATTCGCGCCTTGGTGAATCTGTATTCTGTGTGGTACAGTAGTAGGGTTTCTCGTTGGAAGTCTGCATCTTCCCGTCCCCTCCACTGACTTGGACCCTTGATACACGCGCCCCCTATGTCGATCATGCGCGCGGCCGAACCTCATGCGACCACGTACGTATGCATTCGTGTTCGGAATCTCTGAAAGCGTAGATGTATTTCACTGTTCCACCGCCATTTTTTGTATCGTCCCCAATTTGTCAGGAGCCGATCGAGGAGGTCACGGTCGAGGGAGGGGACGCAATCTCGCTGTCCCCTGATCTCGTTGCCAACACGGCGCTCTCCAGCCTCAACGTCCACTCGGGCATTTTGTTGCTTGAGGAGTCCATCATGCGAATCGGCAAAGAACGCGCCGCCGTCGCCGCCGCCACCGATGCTGTCGCAACCACGAGCGGTGGGGCCACAGCTAGTGGCGGTGGTGGTGGTGGCGGAGGTGGAGGCAGGCGTCGACGCCGCGGCAGCGGCGGAGGTGATGAGAAGAACGTCCACGTGGTCGATGTGGAGAAAGGACAGCAGGCAAGTACTGCAGTTTTTAATATATTTATCTATTTCATACCCTGGACAATAGAGGCACAATGGTCTATTGTTGCTACAGTGGGCCACGAGAAAACAATATTGATCCCTTTGTCAGGGACAACAGAATTCTATGCATGTCTTTGTTTGATTTTCCTGCAGTTTTGTACCACATTTCCTGGTTGGCGCAGCTGTTTTGATGGGCGTGGTTGTGTTGTTTGCCTTTGCTACGTTTGTGTCATGGCAGCTACGTGCAGCAACAGGTTCGAGCTCGAAAGTCAGCGTTTTTTTTTTCTCTGCTCTTTGGGAGGTCGGAATGGCGGATGGTTCGGAGCACAGACCGTAGTCAAGTTACTGGTACAAGCGACATACAAGCACCGCCGTTACTTTTTTTTTGTCATTGATACGTTCAGCGGTTGTCCTTGCCCAAGCTGCACTCGTCCCGCTCGTGAAGCCTATGTTTGTACATACATACCTGGGCGAACCAAGGCGTCCTGCACTTGTTTTGCGATGTTGTTGCGCCGTTCCTTTTTCATCTGGACGTCGTGTTTTTGTCACTTTTCGGTATGTATGTCTTTGGCCGCACCAGCCAGGACCACACGAGAGGAAGGAAACACCGCCAGAATTTTTTTCTTTTCGCCTCCATTTTTCTCCACCCCGTTTCTGCGGTGTGGGTGACTTTGTTGTTGTTTTGATTCTTTCACAGGACGCATGGCTGCAGCTATCGAAGTTGTACGCCTCTCTCGGGGAGAGGGACGCCCTCGTTGGGGTCGCCGCGCGAGCGAGCAAGTCGGAGGGAACCCGGTGAGTTATAATCCCCCTCACCGTCATGCTCCGTCCTCTCGAGGACGCGCGGTCAGTGGCCTAACAGCTGCAAAACAGGAGTACGCCTCCCCCGTTGTTTGCTTTTTTTTTTAAGTTGCACCTTCTAGGCTGGCTCTCTGTCGTCGATTTCTATTGACTTGCGAACCCTTCGGGTCCATTTTATTTTAATATGCGGACAGAAGAAGGTACTGGGTAGATAGATGGGAACGGTTTTTAATGTAAAGACAACGGCAGCCACAACCTTCGATATTTTGCCTCTACAGGGAACCACAGATGGGAGTGTTTCTTCGTGATTCCTGTTGTTTCCCCCCCGATACAGTCTCTGACGAGACTTCAACCACCCCCACACCCAACACTCCGCGTCCTTGCATCCAGCGTCCCCGCTTCCCCTTCCCCACCCATGCCCACAATCGTCCACGCCGCTGATTCACAACAGAAACCCAGCAACCAAACGCAGTCTTGAGCATATCACGTAACCGAGCCTTGAGAAAATCTATGTCGCCGTCTTCGGCAACGAACTCATCGAAACAGACAAGCTTTGGAGGCCGAGCTGTCAGGAGAGTACGACGTGGCCCTGAGGATGTACAAGAAGCTGCTCGATCGGTACGACACCCGCTTCGAGAAAGAGACGGACACTCAGGACAGCAGTGCCGCTCGGGGCATGGACGAAGAAGGTACATTCCCTTCATGGTCATCGACATTTTTTGTCGTGGCTATCGTTGGGTGCTTATGACGTTTTTCGCTCGTCAAGGGGTAATACTGCTGTATGAGTATTTCGGAATGTTTCGTTCCGCTTGTTGGAATGTTGTTGTACAAGCTTGGCGTTGTTCACGTCGACATGCTGACTTGATATTTTCGAGGAGCACAGTAGGCATTTGGGGCAAGCAGCACCAACCTATCATGCTTAGGGAATGCGGAAGAGGATGTTCGAAGGTTTCGGCTCACGCAAACATCATGCACATGCGGTTTTCGCGTCGGAGGGTGAAGGTAGGGGACGAAGCTTCGGGTGAAGGGCAACTTATGCCTTGCGTCGTACCCACGCCATCTGCAGGACTCGGCAGCTGGACTAACCGGTTGAGGTAGTGGGACTGCAACATCCGCGTGTTTGTATGTGAGTGAAGGGCATTGGTGTCTTGAAACATCTTGTTGCCTAGCCAACGCGAATTGTATTTGTGGAACAGCACTACGCGTTCATCATCTGGAACGGGTGTTATAATGTGTATCCCTTCTTCCCCCTTTTCTTGCGGCCCCGCAGGCGTGGAAGGAGCCAGCGAGGCGGAGCTAAGGGCGTGGGACATGCACCAGCTCGAGTGTATGCGACAACTCGGCCAATGGAAGGTCGGGGACAAGTATATTGAATCGTGTGCCCGTGGGCAACGATGCTTGGAAACGTCTGCCGTTGTTCTTGTTTGCAACGGCGGCGTTGTTAAAGCAACACCGAACAACACATAGACGACCGCAGCAACGACAACAACAACGAGCAACAGCACCTTTCTGTTGGGTCCATCCTTTCAAGGGTCTGCCCGTCCTTTGGAGACCGGCGATGAGATTTTTAGGAGTACCATATAGTTTCCCACCCATTCGCGGCGTGTTCACCAGAAAATGGACCCCCCCCCCCCCCCCCAAGGCGGAACATAAATGAACACCCTCCCCCCAAATTTCCTAACTTGTTTAAAGA